CTGGGTGGATGTGGACTGCCAGGAACTTGTTTATCCCATTTTTACCACTTGCCAATGTGTGAATACTTTATCTCCCAGAGAGAGATCTCTCTTCATCTCTTTTAGATACAAGGGAAGTATATGGAACAGGTTCTCTTTCCCAGAACAGAAGGGAGAATTTTCCCAGGGTGCCTTGTTTTGCCCTGCTTTGTCCCCAAGGTAGCTCTCATACGGTCGTTCCATCTCTACCATCTCAGGCCATCCTGCACTGGTTGCCTGAAGCCGAGGTCCATAAACTTCACAGCCAGCTTACTCCAGAGCTTAATTCTGGCCATTTGCCTGAAAAGAATCTAGCCTGAACTTCGGTGCCATTTTCTCTGTCTGCCTGCCTCACAACCCTCCTTTTTACCGGATAGGCTCCTTCCTGAACTGAAGCACTTGCTCTGCAGTCCGTGAAGAAAGAAAACAGTGGGGAGGGGGGAGCCCAGAACAGCCATAGTCCAGCCTTTTCACCTTCTGTTTATGCGGGAACTCGCCCACCCCACTTGCCCTGGGGTGGCAACCTGCAGGCTATATGCAACCTCAATCTGGAGGTCCCCCCGCCCCCTTTCAACAAAGCAAAGTGAAATTGTTTCCAATTGCTACAGAGACCAAGGTTCTAATAGCTAAAGAGACAAAGATCTGGGAAGAGCCACAGATAGGGACAAATATTCCTTGTTTGCATTTCAGCAATCTAACAATCGACAAGATTTCTCCTATCTCTGGGGGCTTCCCTCTATTTTCCAGTCTCTGGAGGAGACGCCCGTGTCTGGAAAACACCAGCCTGTTCCAGGACAAAGAGAAGCAATAAACCCGCACCGGGTCCAGTACGGAGCATCTTCCTACGCCAAGCTCAGCCAGGATTAGAGGTGTTTGTAAATGATCCTCTCCGGTACGGTCTGCAGCTCTATCTTAACGGGACACTTGTAGAAGAAGGAAAGCAGCACCTCCGTGTAGCCCACCAGGAAGTAAATCTTATGCGGGGGGAGATTCTGGAGGAGGATGGCGCAGATGACCACCACGTTGGCCCGGCGCTTCAGCACGATCTCATCCGCCAGGCAGCCATGGAAGGTGCCCAAGATGAACTTGCGGATGAAGACGTCCTCCAGCGTGCGCTCCGCTGCGTCCGTCTCCCCATCCAGGTTTCCTGCGGGAGCAGAACAAGGAGCCCGGAGCCTGTTTCGGTGTCTCGCCATGCAAGGGGAAGGGCTCGGGGCTGAGCCGGGCGGGGGGCCGTGGCTCCAGCCGCTCGGACCCCGGAAGAGGGAAAGGACCCGGCAGAGGTCCGGGGGCCGAGCCGGGCTGCGGCTGCCCTTTCACTGAAAGCATCCGATCCAAGGCTTTGCTTTTGCAGAAAAGCCCCTTCGACCTCCAGGCTGCAGCCCCCGTTTTTCCCCCAGCATCCCCAGGCTCCATAATCGGGTGGTTGCAGCTGCAGCCCAGGGGTTCCTCCCCTTTCCAGCCCCCCCCCAAAACTCCTGCTAGATAAAGGGCCATCTGGGGGGGGGGCTCTCCCCTTTCTGGGTCCCCTCCACCCCCCAACCCCCCCCGGGCGAGGCTCACCGGTGTGCAGGGAGAGCCACCCCTTGCGGTGGCCGATGTAGTGGGGCGGGTGGGCCTCCTGGTACGTCACCGGCTGGTTCCCCTTCCGAGGCCGGACGCGGCCCGCTTGGCACTGCAAGGGAGAGCGGGGCGAGCGTGGGCCAGGGCGGCTCCCACCCACCCCCACCCCCGCCCCCCGGCGCCGGAACCCCCCCCCCCGCGCGCGGAGGAGGCCTCCCCCGGGGCCGAGGGGCTCCTTACCTTCTCCAGGGCGGCGCTGCTCCGGAAGCCACGGCCCGCGCCCGGCGGCCCCCAGGCGCCCCTCAGGGCCCGCGCGGAGGCCTGAGGAGAAAGCGCGCGGTCAGGAATGGGCATGCGCAGAGAGCCGCCCCCTCCCCGCAACGAGCCCCCCCTCACCTCCCGGCGCCCCCCCCTCCCCTCCACTCGCCTCTGCGCCCCTCCGCCACGCCGCCGCCATGGGAGCCTGCAGGCCGGAATTGCGCCGCCTCCTCCTGGCCGCCAGGGGTCGCGCTAGGGCCCCTGCCGGAAGTTCCGTCCCCGGCCCGGAGGACGCCCCGCCCTTTCCGGCTTCCGCCGCGCGCCTCCGATTCAAATTTTGAAATTCAGATTAGAGCGGGAAGGTGACCTTGGAGGTCTTCTAGTCTACCCCCACCCCGCTCGGATCTGCTCTTGAAAGCCTCCAGCGATGGGGCGCCCACAACTCCGGGAAGCGAGTTGGCCCATCGATTTGCTTTCACTGTAGGGAAACCGATCGATCGATCGATTGATTGATTGAAATGGTCTAGACTGTAGAGCAGGGGTCTCCAACCTTGGCAACTTTAAGCCTGGAGGACTTCAAGTCCCAGAATTCCCCAGCCAACTTTGGAGACCCCCTATGGAAAAATCCCTCCCTATTTCCAGGCTGAATTCCCTTCCAAGGAGCTTCCACTCCTTGCACCAGAGCCCCCAGGGCTTAGAATCAGAAGGCAGCAAAAGCTTAGGGCTGCTTCTGCTGACTGCCCACTGCCGGCAGTTCGATCCTGACCCGCTCAAGGTCGACTCAGCCTCCCGTCCTTCCGAGGCCCGTAAAATGAGGACCCAGACTGTTGGGGGCCAGAGGCTGACTCTGTCAACTGCTTAGAGAGGGCTGGAAAAAGCCCTGTGAAGCGGTGCGTAAGTCTTAACTGAGATGCCTCGGTGAAGGTAACTCAAGCCCTGATAGCTACACTGCAGAACTCTAGCAAAATGTTCAGTGGGAAGAACCTGGAAACTCCAGTTAGTCCAGAACACAGCAACCAGGATGCTGATGGGACAACAATACCAACGATCCTAAGATCACTTGACTAGCCATCTGTTAGCTTCCAGGCTCAATTCAGGCTTTCTGGATATTCCTTATAGCACCTCGTATGGCTATATGAGGGCACACAGACATCCGGAGAGGCCTTCTAACAGGAAGACCTGCTGAGCCTTCATGGCGGCAATGGGGCTCTTGGGTAGCCCCCACAAAACTCACCTTGAATGAGTTTCTGACCCTCTTGATTGAGCTGTTCTGCATTTGTTACATTCACATCACTTGTATTGTCCTTGTTTGGTTTCACAGTGCTCAGAACAAATAAAATTGTGATTAAATATAGTAAATAAATTAATATCTTAAGGACAACGCTATAAATTGTATTGTCAGCCACACTGTGCGATATTTTGGTGAAAGATGAAGATAAAAAATAAGGAACAAATAATTCATGTTAAAGCTATTGGTATTTCATCAGTGAATGAGAGAAACGAAACACTTTAAAAATGTTTTTGAGGACTGTTCTCCCCCCATCCCCATCGTAATAGATCAGGAATTGAAATATTAAACAATATAACTGTTTTCCATTTTATTTGAGTGACAGACATATTTAACACTACTGAGAAGGGTCAGGTAAATCGTAAACCATCCCGCAGGATCAATGAATAAAACTAGAAGCTGATCCTGATACAGGAGAGGAAGTGGCTTCAGCGACAGGAGTCAGATTTTGATCCAGAACCTTCTTGTTTTATTAGTAAGGCCAAAAATTCCTCCCAAGAAAATACCATTTAATTAATAGAACATCATTCTTCATTGGCCCAGTGTGATTGGACACACAAGGAATTTGTCTTGGTGCAAATAATTTAGGGATTATTTATTACACAGGCAGCCTCTGGGTTAAGAACATCTGCTTTACAGACAATGCGTACTTATAAATGGGCTGGCAATTAGTAAAAATGGCAGATAGCATTTTCAGCAGTTTTCTAGTCATAAGTTCCAACTTAACGTTGGAAATTTGATTTTAAGGCACACTTGAGAACACATCTCATTTTTAACCTGGCAGTTGTTCTTACCTTTGTCTATGGAACTCAGGGTGACAATACAAAAGGTAAGTCCAACGCTGAAGAGCTGAGCATTAACCAGGTATCCACAACTGTCCCTGGTCGAGACTTTGGGGGACAAAGAATTCTGAGGAGAAACCCAAAGTCTGTCCAGTTGTAACCAACTTCTGAGCTAAGGTTTGGTTGCCAGGTTTAGATTTTTTTGCCTGATCTCCTTAGTTGATTAGTGTTTCAGACAAAGTTTCCCCATTCTAGATGGAAACTAAATTCGTACAATATCAAACAGATACAGATAGAAGATTCTGAAGGGTCTTTTGGGGGGTATCTGCTGTGTTAGATATACACATGTCACCGTTTCTTTAGCCAGCTCCTCTGGGTTCAGATACATTAAGCAAAATGTGGCATGAGAGCCAGTTTGGTGTAGGGGTCAAGGCACCAGGGTAGAACCAGGAGACTGTGAGTAGTGCTAGTCCTGATTTGTAGTGGCAAGAGGGAAAGCGGCTACCAAGGTAATGGTCAGATAAGAGAGACCCGAGTTGGGGAAAGAATGAGAAAATGTTTCAGGCAGGTCTTTCGCTACTTCATATCCTCCCTCCCCCTAAAGCAAGGGTGTCAAACTCAAGGTCCTAGGGCCGGATTTGGCCCCTATGGTGCTTAGATCTGGCTTGTGAAGCTGCCCTGGAAACAGCAAAGGACCGGCCCGTGGTGCCTGTGCCACTGAAAATGGAGCTCAAGACGGCCGTACGCTCAGTTTTTACTGGCAGAGGATTGCAGGAGGCGATCGCAGCCAGAAACGGAGCTTGGGAGCCCTTTTTCGCTGGCAGAGTGCTCCAGCCACCACAGGCCGCCCTGACACGAGTGATGCTGAGCTGGCCACACATTCCTGCCCTCCTCCCAAGGTCTAGCATAGTTGATGCAGCCCTCAACGAAATCAAGTTGGACACTCCTGCGCTAAAGGGAGGAAGGGGGAGGCATATTCCGTCTTGAAAGATTCTGCTACAAAAGGGAAGATTCTGCTTTATAATAATAGCAGTACTGACTAGCCCAGCCCTGGTCTCCGAATCTGATGTACCTTGGAGGGTTGAGATTGGGGCATGAAGCCGGCTAGGGCGGCTTCTCTCTCAGTCCGAGGAGGAAGAAGCAGTCACCGGGAGTCGAGGCTTCCTCGACAGGGCATGCACGCACACACACACACACACACACACTTGCACACACAGATGTGGCTTAGCATGTCATGTGAGCCCAACGAGTTGCAGCTTTATTAAGCAGTCTGTTTTTAAACAATGACTTAGCACGATGTGTGTACTCGTGGCCAGCTGCATCACATCTCACCAACTTGCTTTAACCAGGATTTGTTGGTGGAAGTGGCACAACTGGCTAGGATTAACACAGCCTTCTAAGCCACAAATAAGTTGTCCAGTGGCTTAGCGCGATGTGTGAAGCCAGCTCCACGTGTGTTGCAACGGAAAGCAAGGAGACCCGTTGTCTTCTCCTGACCGCCCCGGCTCCATTCTGCTCAGGCTGGCTACCGACCGGGCCAGCTGCTGGCCAAAGTTTCTGCCCTGCAGACAGGCCTGGAGACTTCTAGAGCCCCGTCTTGTTCGGTTCGGGGCTTGGGGCTGGATCTTGGCTGTGGTTATTTGGAGAGGTCTGGTCCTTGCTAGGAGCTCCTTTGCCTTCCAAAGGGACGGAGGGGGTCTCCGTTCTCGGCTGTAGCTCCGGCGTCCCTTGACGGACCGAAGGCCCTGGGAGGAGAGGAGGAGAGTTAGGAAGACGGAGCACAGAAAGACCCTCTTGGGTGGGATCTATCTCTGGAGGGCTTGGAGCCCCTGGGTTTCATTAGTTCAACATCAGTCAGGTTGAAGCTGCCCAGGTGAGACAAAGAGACGCTGAGCAGGAGCCTCCCACCTGTCCTCATTTTCAGCAGCGTTCCTCTCAACTCCGTAGTTGTGAATTCTAGAAACCACCTTTATCGTACCGTGACAAGAACAGAATCTGAGTGTGCCTCCCTCCTCCCTGCCTGATTAACTGAAGAGGTCAAATGCAAGATGTTTTCTCACAATTACGTCCTTCTCTTTTTCTTCTTCTTCTTCCTCCTCCTCAAGGTTATTTTGCACATCCCGTTATCATTTCCCAACTCGGATAACGGGATTAAAAAAAATATAAGGCATTTCTCCTCCTTTGCTAGAGGGTCACAGGCACCAAATAATGAAAGGGTTACAAGAAGGCGGAATGCTGCTGATTAAAAAAAACAACAACACATCCTAACCCTAGGAGGAGGAAGCCCTTACTGGGCAGACTGGGTCGTCTCCTTCCCAGGGTGGATCGATTCAGGGCAGCCTCTTGGATTCTGCCTTCCTTCAGGAAGGAATCCCTCCCGCTGCTACACCCTGGCAACACCCCCACTTTCCTCTCCGCCTCTGCACACGCAAACGCACACGCACACAAACACACACACACAGCCGTTGCCTAAGAGGGAGACATTTCCATTTTTTACTGTAACGTGCAATGCAACCGCCCCTATAACATTCTTTCCTACTTCTGATTTTGGAGCCAGGAGGAACTTTCCAAACGGACAACAGAGGAAGCCTGCAGCCGCCACCCGTGGAGGGTGGAGGGCCTCCTTAGCTTCCACTGGGCAGGGAAGCCAAAGGAACCGGGGAAGGCAGAGCAGAGACTTACCGAAGTAGCTGAGGATGACAGGCAGAAACACCAGGCCGTGCAGCATCCCTAAGAGGGTGATGATGAGGTTCAGGCGGAAGAAGAAGACCTGGATTACTTGAGCCTTGGCAAATGCCAGGACCACGATGCCTGGCAAGTTGGTCATTGCCACACCAGCAAACACCTGCAAGAAGGGAAACGTCACACCTGGGCAGCCCTGGGGTGGGGAAGATCAGGGCTGCTCCTGGGAATTTCGAGGCAAGAAGTCCCTCGCCCTGGAGAAGATTGGAACGGCAGAACTGAGATCACCTCACCAGCACCACAGGTAATGGGAAAGTGAGAGTCCCATTGATTGATCTCATGGCCAACTGGACAATTGGGAAGTAGAAACCTAAGGTACCTCCAGGTGGAGGAAGAGGAGGCTAGACTGAACCTTGGCTAACCTCTTTGTGATTTCTTTTCTTTGCAGGACGTCTTTTTCAATTAAGGGGGGGGGCGCCTGTCAACCCTGAAGCTGGTCTCACTGAGGCCATTTTTCAGGCTTCAGTGTTGCCACCCTGGAGCTGAGGGATATGGAGGGTGGGGAATAGAGATAGCTGGGCTTTTGTAGCCAAAACAAAATAATTTCTCCTGTGAACCAAGGACATCCCAACAGCTGGCTGGAGAGAGGAGGAGGAGAGAAGTAACCAGGTTACCGGCCAGCAGCCAGATTGGACAATGTGACTGATTGTTTGGGGGGAAAGGGGAAACTTTTACTTTTTAATGAGGTGAAAACCAGGCTAACTCTCAAAGTTGCTTTTCACCAGTCTGTACCAATAGGGTAACTCCAAATAAAACCAGTGCCCTCAGTATGCTGTTTGTGGCACACACCTCCCTCCACCCGCCTTTCTTGGCCCCGTTTTTGCCTCCTCCTTACCGCGCTTCCCATGTTGATTGTGGCTTCTCGGGAGCGTTCTACTTTGGTTGGTTGTTTGCTCATAGCGAAGGAGAGGGTGATGTGAGAGACAAATTCCACAGAGATGCCCACGGCCTGCAGGAGAGTGGAGCAATTAGCAGTGAAAGAACAGTCGATGCACCTGCCTTTGTTGTTCACCCACGCAAGAGTATTGTCGATATTTTGTGCGGGAGGCTTTCAAGAAAAGATTGGACATTCATTTGCCTGGAATGGTAGAGGGCAGGGGTCTCCAATCTTGGCCACTTTAAGACTTGTGGACTTCAACTCCCACAAGTCTTAAAAGTGTCCAAGGTTGGAGAGCCCTGGTATAGGGTCTCCTACCTGAGCAGGGGCTGGACTAGAAGACCACTGAGGTTCCTTTTCATCCTCTTCCTTTATTGTTCTATTTCTAATATTTTGGCAGCACTTAGAAAAAAGTCAAGGCTGGAAAACCTCAATGGGGCAGGCAAAACATCACATGTACCAAGACAAAAGAGGAGGTGGGATAAGTTCAGGGTAAAAGTTAAAAAAAAAGTGAACGTGGAAGGAAAAGCTAACTATTTCACTCTCTGCACGAAAGACGGTGACTCGGGGAACCAAACAGGACCGGAATTTGGCCTAGCAGGAACTGCTCAGGACCTCCCAGCAGCTGCAGATAAAGGAAAGACCTGGAGGGCAGAGAAGTAGAATCTTTGCAGACTGCAAGAAAAGTGACGCTCAGCCTTGTTTGCTGCTTTGAGACAATAAAAAAGTCAAAAAAATAAAAAAATCATGCATCGGTTTGAGCGCTGCCTTTCCTGCCCCAAAAGGGATCCTCTCTGACACCCAAGAAGCTTCCACAGAATTCTAGTAAATAAAAACAGTTCCCTTTTAAGAAACAGAGTTTTTTAAAGGCCGCTGTCAGGATTCCAGCCATCACCCTAATTAAATCATGAGCCTGGAGCCAAACTTCACAAAACTTCAAAAGATTTATTATGAGTGACATGCTGGCATGACCTCTATGAAGCTGACTCTGAGATACGTAATTTACAATCACCTATGACCCTGTTTCCCACCCCCCACCGCCCCCCTGGGTGTATCATCATTCAGACTGTCCAACGAAACACTTTTATAGGCTGGGGGTCATCAATCGCACTCTTCAATAGACGATTTTCGAGCCCAGACTACCCGGTTCTGCCTCAGTTACAATCTTGGTGAGATAAGCTTGGAATGCGCTTCTGAGCTCACTCGCCATCTTCTCCTTCAGGTTTTTTCCCTCCCTCTCTTTCTTACGGCAACTTGGAAACAGGCACAGGACAGCCCCATTCTGCGATTTCCTAGCTAGACTGCTGCTGCTTTTACCCTCCTCTCGTTTTCGAGAGGTGGGTTCCTCCCTCTGCGCCCCAGGGGCCTTTTCCTTGTGATACCCTGCGCCTCCAGAAAATCTCCAGTGGGGACCCTGCAGCAGGTGGATACTCCAGAAAAGCCCTAAGCACCAGGAATGCAAAGCTAAGCACATCTGGCAGGACCACGGGGCACTTGGGCACCCCCCCTTCCCTCTCCTCGCCTGCCTCCCCCGCACACAGCTGTGGTGCCCATCCCCAGGAAAGAAAGAGGGGCTCACTGTGACCAAGTTGATGAGGGAGACGGCATTGTAGGAGATTCCCCAAAGGTTCATGGCCCCCACGGTGTCCACAATGATCATGATGATGGTGAGCAGGTTGATGAAGGCCGAGCGCAGGTCCAGCCCCAGCAGGATGTAGCAGACGGCGAAGGTGGGCACCAGGCACAGGGCCAGGTTGATGAGGCCAACGGTGGTGATGGTCAGGTACTGCTCATAAAACACGTAGGTGATTCTGCGGGAAGAGAAGCGGTTCCGGGGAGGGAGTGGGACCCCTTGCTACGGCCAACACGCCACAGCCCACTCACCACGGAACCATTTAACAATTCTATTTCATTCTTTAAAATAAATTTACGCATATTCTAATTTTTGCCCTTCCCGTTCCATTCTGTCCCTCCTTTTGCATCCTTTCTTTAATGAATCTATTCTTGTCCCGTGGCGAGTTGGCCTTGGTGAGTTTTCATAGACCCTTCCGGGAACACTCCAAGGCCCACCCACCCCTCCCTGAGGAGGGAGATTAGAGATCATCTAGTTTAACCCCTTACCCAGTTCAACCACAATATTTATGGTGTCCTTGACAGGTTGTTATCCTGCCTCACTTAAACTCCCCAGGGAAGGAGAGTGCCGCAGCTCTCGAGGCTTCTTCCCTTTGGTTCAACGTCGGGCAAACTTTTGCCTGGTGTCCAAACAAAACCTACTTCCTTATAACTTAAACAAATTGTTCTCGTTGCCTTGTGGAATCCTACATGGCAGCCCTTCAGGCACCTCGGAGGGTTGTTACACCTCCTCACCGTCTTCTCTACCCTTCAGCTTCCCTCCTACTCTATGATCTTATGGCGTTGACCGCTTCTTTTCTTCTGTACGATGGTCCCCAACAGCTTGCTGACCCCTAACTGAATTGCCCCAAAGGTGCTTTTATTTATTGTTTTCAAGAGGCAACTGGACTTTCTGGGTTTTCTTTGAAGACGTTTCGCTTCTCGTCAAGAAGCTTCTCCAGCTCTGACTGAAGTGCTTTCTCAGGAGGGACACTATACTGCAAAGGAAAGGACTCAAGCTGCTCAGATGTTGTAGGCCTGTCATCCTCAGCTGGATCATCCCTTATCTCAGCCTGCTTGGTTCTTGGGAACTTCCACGCAGAATGGTGCATTGAGGTCACTCCATGTCAGGAAACAGGCTCTATACAAACTATCAATATAGTAATTTATTTACTTGTTTGTTTATACCCTGGCATTGTTAACCGCTTAGAGAGGGCTGTAAAGCACTATCAAGCGGTATATAAGTCTAAGTGCGATTGCTATTGCTATTATTTTTATACGGAACTTAAGGTGACGAACATATCTAATACTCCTTCCTCCTCCTAGTTTCCCTCACAATCACAACACCGAGAGACAGAGAGAGAGAGAGACAGAGAGAGAGACAGAGAGAGAGCAAGCGCAACTGGCTCGAAGTCCAGTCTTCAGCATTCCTTCTCCTCCTCTGTGGCTCTCCACCATTTGGCAGCTCAGGACCTTTAAGGGTCAGGGCCTTTGCCCCGCAGCCATGCCCGTTAGCTGGTTCATGTTGGTAGCCGAGAATCGGCTTTGGACTCTTCCAAGCAAAACCCAAGCCCAATCGCAATTTCATGGCTGGAATGTGTAGCCCTGAAGCTCCCTTAAGAGTAGATGGCTTCCAGATCCTTCTTGCCCTGCGATGGGGGGCACGGCACCCCTTTCTTTCCTCAGCTCCCTCCCTCCCTCCCTCCCTCCCCGGGTCTGCCAAGTTTCTCCTCCCTCAACGTACGCGTAAGGGAAGACCTGGAAGTTCGGATCAGTGCCGGGAACTTCCCTCAAAGTAGCCGTAATGTTAGCCGCCAGTTGCCGCATCACCTTCAAGGCTGCCGTGTTTTCCTGAGAGTTCTTCAGCGGGGTGTGGTAGGCCATGAACCGGGATGCTGTTGGAGGCAAGAGGTGTGATGTTGTTCCATCCCCAGACCAGCCTTCCTCCAGAAATCACAATCCCACTCTGAAATTAGGCGGGATGACATAGAACTCAAGGCCATTTCCTGCTGGCCCGCATAGAGAGCACTGTCCACTCGTAAAGCGTTCCTATTTCAAGTTGCCATAAACAAGGGGGCGGAAGAAATCTGACGGAGCAGGGCAGCCATTTAAAACCAGAAGTTCCTTCCAACACTTATCTCACAAAGATTGTAGCCTAGGCTACCGGATCTTCTGCCCAGGAAAATCCTTACTTGGAGAACGTGATTGATGACACCCAGCACAGTGAAAACATGCTTCACTGGAGAACCTGATTTATGACACACCCAGGGGGGAGGGGGGAAACAGGATCACAGGTGAATGTTAATTAGGTATGCCAGAGTTGGCTTCATTTAGATTAATGCTGGCATGTTGCTCCTAATAAATCCTCTGGATTCTTTTGAAGCTTGGCCCGAGGCTCATGATTTAATTAGGGCAATCACCGGAACCCTGACAAGTGCCTTCCACTGCTGGGTTCTACTCACCCAAGATCTCCCCATCGGACCCCAGACGTACCGATGTGTCATAAGCCCCGAGGCCCCTGTAGAGGGAGGAAGAGATGAATGCACCGGGAAGGCTGATGAACCTCTGGACGGCGTGGGCAAACGGTGCCGAATGGAAACAGACCCCCCGCCCCAAGCTACATTTGTGGCACTCACCCCTTGGGACACTTGAAGTTGGGCATGTCTTGGAGGAACCAGGGCAGGAATTTGTTGAACTCTTCTCTGTTGGGCCGGAGGATGCCTTGGACGCGGCCCATGCATTTGTTGAAAGTGCAGGCAAGGGAGTCTACCAAAGAGAGACAAACTCTTGGACACTGGCCCAGCCCAGGGCCCCGTAGACATTTGGCCACCTGCCCTGAGATGGGGTGAACTTCGCCCACCCTCCCTGAGCAGAGTTCCTTACCGCTGGTCGAGGGGCAGAACTTGTCCTTGTTAGGGCCAGATTTGTAAATGCGGCAACATCTGGATATGGGATTCAGCCAGTCGATGAAGTCATCTACCCAGGAAGTAGCTGGAATGGCCAGATAGTACCTGAAAGCAGAAAGAAAGCTCAGGATTTAGGTCAGCCTTGGGGTCTCTTCTCTTAAGGCCTTGACAGAAGCCTTAGCCAAAGACGGCTTGAAAAAACTTTGGCAGAGATTTCTGAGGTGCTTTTGGTGCCTGAGTTTTAACTGATGCCATTCCGGTTTGGGACACGCCGGGCAACCACAGACATGACTGAGCAGCTTTCTATAGCTCTGCCCCCTTAAAGGCACATGTTTAGATAGCCAGGCGATTACTTCGGCTTCAAACACCATTAGCATCTTTCATACGGAAAATTAAAATCAAAGCGTGTTTTTTTTTAATAGCAGGAAGATACGTATACTGCAAAAAGTTTAATTTTGAGTTGAAAGCAGCTTCAAATTGGCTTACTTCTCAGGGAATTTGGTGGCCATTTGGATCGTCTGCGTCATGGAGTTATTATTACACCCAGAACTGGAACAGATGCTGTTCATTCCAGGCACCGAGTTGTAGTTGTAGCCACCAGTGGTAACGAAGAACATTGGGGCGCCCACCATAAAATATCGGTTGAAAAACTGGAAGAACGTCACCATGTACGAGTCCTGAAGCATCAAAGAAAAGCAAGGGGAAGTTTAGCCGCTCCTTGGCCACCTAATCTGCCTTTCTGAACATGTTTCAGAAATGGAGGGCTGGTCGGCGAATGCCGTTCCCTGGAAGGGCTTCCTTTTGCTCCCTCAGCCAAGAGGGAGGTTAGCTGACTGGTTCCACTGCCTGCACAAACGCCAGAAGGAAGATTAATGTTTAAATGCACTACGTTTCTATGTTTAGCCAGTGATTTGGTTGGTTTGTTTAAAATAAGACAGGGGTGTCAAACTCAAGGCCAGAGGGCCAGAACTGGCCTGCGGGATACTTAGATGTGGCCTGCAGGGCCGCTCTGGAAACAGAGAAGGACCGGCCCGCAGTGCTTCTGCCCGTGAAAACGGGCTCCCGAGATCCGTTTTCACTGGCAGGGGATTGCAGGAGGCCCTGGCAGACGAAAATGGAGCTCGGGAGCCTGTTTTCGCAGGAATTGCGCTTGGGCCGCCACAGGCATCCCCGACATAAGTGACCGTCGAGTTGGCCATGCCCCTCCCCCCTGTCCTCCCGAGGTCAAAAACAACCTTGATGTGGCCCTCCATGAAATCGAGTTGGACGCCCTTGAAATAAGATGTACGGCTTCAACCCTTTCTAACTTAACTTCTGCATCCGCCATAAAACCATCTCAGGTGTCGTTGCTTAAAGTGGTTTCAGAAGGAAGGCAGGTTATCTCAGGAGTGGCTTTCCGACAGGGGCAGGGGTGAAATGAGGCTCTGCTGCTTCTGGATCGGCCACTACGGTCCTCTGCTCACCTTGGGCACCGCCAGTTCTTGCTCCAACCCCACATCGATGTGGAATGTCAGGTAGATGCCAGCACAGAAAAGCAGGACGAAGAGCAGCACCTGGAGACGGGAGGAAGGGCCAGAAGGAAAGCTGGGTGTGTCAACTCTTAAAACGTTTCTATGCCCGTTCCAGAGTTGCCATGAACAGAAGGGGGGGCGGGGGGCGGGGACATGAAAGCTGTGCATTCCCTTCTTATCTTGCAAAGATTGTAACTAAGCTACCAGAATCTCTAATTGGAGAAGGTGATTGATGACTCTTGGCTATGAACGTGTTTTGTTGGAGAGTGTGAATTATGATATACCCAGGGGGGTGGGGGTGGGGGGGAAAACCAGGGCCAAGGGTGACCGTGAATTACCTGTCTCACAATCGGCTACATACAGATCATGCCGACATGTTCGCTCCTAATAAATCCTTTGAAGTTTTTAAAGTTTGGCTCGAGGCTCATAATCTAATTAGGGCAACTGCCGGAATCCTGACAGTGAGCTGGCTCTCCCCACCCCACCCCTGTTTTGCCCCCCCGTCCCTCAGATCCCCTTCCCAGCCACTCTGCCCAGGCGGGGCACTCACCACCAGAGCTCGGACGATGCTGCTGCCCAGCAAGGCTGGCGTGTAGATCTTGCGCATGAATGTACGGAGAAGCCCATCGTGTGGCTTCACGGGCTCGCATTCAGGCACGCGGAGGCAGCAGCAGAGATCCACCCGAGAGGCCTATGGGCAGGGGGATGGAGAGCTCATGGCGGGCTCTGCAAGAGAGGCCCCCAGCCCAGCCCACCCCCACAACAGCAGCTCAGCCCCCAGATGCCCTGCAGCCGGCCTGACCTTCTGCCTGCGAATATCCAGGGACATCAATGCCACAAAGAGTGACATCTGGAGCAGAAAGACGAAGAAGACTGCCAGGGCTGCCGAGAGGGCAAAGGTCTGGACCGCAGGCATGGGTGTCAGGGCCCCTAGAAAGCCAAAGGAAGGGATAAGGTGGAAGGGGGTCGCTTGTGGGGCTCTGGTGAGATAAGGAGGCTTTCAAATGGGGACATTTACTTTTGCGCATAGTTATCCTCAACGCAATGAACTCGGACAAACTCCAGGAGACAGGAGGGCCTGGCATGTCCCTGGGGTTGCAACGACTCACACCAACAATAGCCACAACAACAACTCCACTTCAGTCTGGCTGGGTTTGCACAATTGGGCTAGCGAATTGTTTTCCAGCATATAATACGAACCTCTTTCCTGGCTCACATCCTAATGCTGAAACACACCTTTTCCAAAGGTTGCATTCACCTGGCACGGAAAGCATCCTCCCAATGCCCCCCACCTCCACTGCCTGCAGTGTCTCCACCCCAAAAGCCGGTCGAGGCCACTGGGGGGGTGGGGGTCATTAGCCATGGGGGTGGGTGGGGGCAATAGCACCTGTGGGTCAGGATGTGGGACGAGCCGCCCGATTCACCCACCTGCCTCCAGCTTCACTCACCCAGGAAGAAGCAGATGACCTCAGAGAGGCTGCACAGGAGCATGCTGGGGGCCACGCTGCCCAAAGTGCGTCCAAGGTGCTGCTCTGGGGTTTCCCCAGGTTCTGGCTGGGATTTCTGGCAATGGCAGAGGCGGGGGGGGGGAGACGGGGTGAGAGGTAGGGCCAGCCAGAGAGGAAAGGCTGCCTGACGGGGCCGCTCCAGGCTCAGCCGGGCAACACCCACCCCGATTTAGTCCGGTGTAGCAGGAAGGGCCTTGCTCCTGGCTCTCCGGAACCCCGTTTCTTCCCAGCACCCCAGTTCCAAACAGGAGCTTTGGCCTGTTCTGAGCCCACCCGTCTTGGGGATGGGGAGGCATTGGCACCTGGTGTCCCAGCACAAAGATGAAGATGTTATCAGCGCCAACCGCCAGGACCAGGAAGGGCACCACTTCAATGATGATGAGGGACGAGGGCAGCCCTACGAAGCTGTAGAAGCCCAAAGATGACAGCACGGCCCCCAGGACCACCAAAATGCCACCCAGGGCAAGAGACAGCTTGGCATCCACCTGGAAAGGAGACGGGGAGGGAAAGTCTTGTAAGCGATTGACAAATCAAATAAATAAATAAATGACTGATAGATAGCTAGATGGATAGATGATAGATAGATAGATGAAGTGAGAGAAAGAGATGATAGACAGACACAGACAGACAGACAGATTGATACATAGACAACCACAGATAGATCGATAGATCTAGATGAAGTGAGATAGACAGACAGACAGACAGATTAAACTATCCACTCCTATCCACTATTGACCTCACCCCATTCCTAAGAGGTCTGCAAGGGCCGTGCATAAGCGCACCATCGTGCCTACCGTCCCTGTCCTATTGTCCCCATTTATTCGTACCTATTTCCTGTATTCCTACTCATGTTTATTCTTATGCCGATCATCTCATACTCATGTTTATATTTATTTATTCGACAAAACAAATAAATAAATAAAATAAAAATAAAATAAATAAATTAGGCAGGTCCTTCCTAAGTTTCTTCCTCTGACCATTAAGCCACCCACCGGGGTTTTTCCTCTTGTCTGGTTCTTCCCTGGAGAGTATCTCTTTCCTTTCTCCTCCCTGAAGGCCACCCACACATTCCCTTATACCCCAACTTTCCTGCTCCAGGAAGGGGGGAATCTCATCACTTGTCACTCTTAGAATCTGGCTGCTCTGCCCAGGAGGGACAGCCATGGGCGTGACTGAAAGTTTCCCCCCCTGCTTCTCTCTCCGCAGAGACGTCTTGGAGAGACCAGGCTCACCACCCACCCAAACGCTTCACCCTGATCTGGAGGAAGTTCTGAGAAGCCGCGAGTCTGTGGCAGCTCTTGTTCTTCCTTGAACCAACTGGGACCAGCCTCCCCTCCCGTCAGACCCACAAGCTGGACGGAAGGCTAGAACTGGTTGGGGGATCTGGCATGTTGTCTGCCTGTCTTTTCGTCCTACCAGGATGTTCCTGCAGCTGGAGTATTCTCCCAGGGCCACCGTGATGTATATGAAGATGACCAGGTAGCTGACGGCAAAGATGGGGAGGTCCTCCCAGGTGCTTCGGCTGACTTCATCCTCCAGGGAGCGCTGCAGTCGCAGGAAACGGAGGAGAGTTGAATTGGCTCCCGCGGGAACATCAGATAGCAATTGATAAGCATTTGTAGCACAACACCTGCATTTTGGGCTTTTCTTATCATCTTGGTTAGTTCTGAGTAAATGAAAACCAACTGCGCAATTCTTGCGAAAGGCGGAGGCAGAAGGGCAGCTGGAGGCTCTGTTCACATCTGCCCTGCCCTGCCTGCAACAGACACGGCTGGTTTTAAAAGTTGGCTATGAGCAAGAGAAGCGGGAGCCTTCAGGACTTCCTAAAATGCAGCTACGCGACAGTTTGTAAAGTTATTCCCTCAAGTATTGCTTTATGGTCTTATTGTGGCTTTTAATGCTGTTTTTATTTTTGGTTGGGAACCACTCAGAGTTGGCCTTAAGGTGGGCAGCTAAAATGGTTTAAATAAAAGCACAGGTAACATACAAGTGCCTTTCCCAGGGAATTCTACCGTATTCGTAACCTGGAACGATGCCAGCATTTAGACCCTTTTCGGCCAGCTCTCCTCTCCTGGGCTCCCTTGTCCACATGAAGGCTGCTGCCTGGTGCTACAGCTGGATTCAGTCCCCCGAGCCGGAGAGGGACAGTGGCACTCATACCTCCGCCATGTAGGCGATGGCGTATTTCTCGGAGTTATTTTTCTGAAATTCCTGGACCACCTCCAGGAAACGCTCCTCCCACAAGAGCACAAAGTCAGCATGTGGGTCGCCGGAGAGAAAGTTGTTCAAGGAGAAGGTGAGGATGAGAGCTTCTGCTTCAGAATACGCCAACCCTGTCGAGCACAGAGGAAAGTCACCAAAACGCCGGAGAGGCAGGAGGACCTGCTAGTTCCAACAGATGCTTCCAACCAGAGTCCCCAGGGCAGCGGGAAAAAGGCCCAACCGCCCCAGGAGGAAGCCCAACAAGGCCCAAATCAGGCCCGGGGATCCAGCTGGTCCGTTTGGAAAATGTCTAGCGGGAAATGCATGGATCAGATAATTCTGGACTCCCGTTTCTCATCAGAATAAGTTGCAAACTCCACCTTAGCCCCGATTCTAAGCAAGCTTCCTTTCAGCCTTTCCGGATTCCAATTTGAGAATGGTTCACACGAAAAGACCTCATAGCTCTTAGGGGGTTAAGCTCAGAACTAGCGATGGACCACAAACGTCACACCCTGACACAGAAAACAACGGCTGTTGTGTGATTCATGTGAAAACTTGAAAGCCACCGTCCCTTAGTTTTGCCTCTCCTCATTTTACTCCCTGCCCAAATGCAACAAAATACACCGAAACAAGAAACTTCTTCTTTTTCTGTGGGACCAGTTGCTGCGTGGCCTTCTGTTTTCGCTTCCCACCACCATGTCCAGGTTTTATATTTGTTGACAAATTTGCTTTGCTCTAAATTTTAAATCTTAAAATTTGTTCCTGAACGGCAGATAAATCTTTTCTCACTCTCTGCTGCTAATAAATTCCAAGTTTGTGGCACTTATTCTGCACTGACTTCTCTGCAGGAACCCGAGGTGCATTGCAACTTCATCCTGATAAAGTTCTCCAACTGAGCACGAATGCTCCTTTTTTCCCACACGTATATACTTTCTAGAAAACCATATTTAAAATTGTTTCTTTCCTCCCATTGCTGCTGTTTCACATGTCCACATGTGGATGCCCAGAGGGTTCTTCCTTACAGCTGTGTTAATGTACATTCTGAAAAACAGATGGGTCCCAGTTGCACTGCCCTTGCAATGGAGTCCTGCGGCACCTGGGGCAAAATGCTCCTCTGGTGCCGTCTGGGACCTACCATAACAGTGACGGGATTGGAGGGCTTTGCCCCGCCTCTCCCAGGTAAACCCGATAGGAAGCGTGTCAGAGTTACAGATATCTTAATTCCAATCTAAAGAAGGCACAGCTGAGATCTCAAGAAACGGAAAAACAGCCAGAAAGCATCGCCAGCTCAAGGTAATCTACCGCCGAGCCCAGCGGGGGCCTGGACCTTCCTACCACAGCCAGGTAGGATACCAGGGTTATCAATGCTTGTCCTTCTACCTTCCAGCTGACCTCGCTCTCTTCTTCCCCTGACCTAAACCGGGTCGGTCCTGTTGGGAACGCCATGAAAGAGGGGGCCACTGCTGTCTGTGCTTAGCACCTGGGAGGGAGCAGGTTCTCCTACCTGAGTAGCCTCCTACAGCCAGGAAGGGGAACACGGGCGCTCCGTAGTCTGACATACAGCTCAGCTTGAGCTCCGTGGTGTCTTGGAAAGAGGCTGGAGAGCTGTGGTAAGGGCAAGGAAGAGAAGAACACACACTGTGATAATGTGGGGGGTGCGAGGGGAGAAGACGGGAGAGAAAGAACAGCTCCGATCCCCGAGGCAAGAGAGGCTGTCATGCACCAAGAAAACCATTGGCCTGGCCTGTAACGCCTGCAAGGACTCTCGGCAGGCTCCGAACAACGAAGTGGACGGGCGGTAGAGCAGTCAGGGCCAACCAGGGTTTGTGCTGATGGGCCAGGCTCCTCCTATGGCCAGTTGCAAAGTGCCCCCCAAAAGGTTGGGCAGCAGCCTGTCGCCTTCAGTCCTGCTACCCAAACACCAGGAGGACCCAGATCGGGGTGGGCCACTCATCTCCCTTCACTTCCATTTAGGCTAAGGTTGGGAGGGGCCAACCACGAGGGGGGTGGAGGGGCAGCCAGCCAGCTTAAAAAAGGTCCCACCCCTCCCTATCCTGGTGTCGTGCCTGGAGTGACCCAGGGCCAAGGAAGCAGCTGCCTCCAGCAGGCAAGGGGCACACGCCCAAGACAGACAAGAATTGGGGTACAAGAGGCAGCAGCAGGACTGGCACTGAAGGTGGCAACCTTAAACTGGCATATACTTTATATATATGTGTGTGTTTTCTTAAGTTTTCATAGGTACTTACATGTATGGTATTCAGCTTTGCTCGGGTAATACAGAAGCCTGATGATGGCAGATGAGATTCTGCCGAAACATTGCTACAACTTTAAAAGCACAACTACAATGACGTGGGAAAATACCCGAGCAAAGCTGAATACCATCTATATCTATATCTATATCTATGTCTATGTCTATGTATATATATATACACATATCAGTTCAGAGATGGTTAGGAAAGATAAATGAATGAATGGTGATGAAAAGGAAACGGTGCCACCAAAAGGTGGCACCAGCTGCCCTTCTTAGCAAGGATGAAAAGATGAAAGAGGAACGTGGTGGCTCAGTGCTTCAGGTGCTGAGCTTGTGGATCAGAAAGGCCGGCAGTTCGTCGGCTCAAATCCCCAGCGTCGCATAATGAAGTGAGCTCCCGTTCCTTGTCCCAGCAGCTTCTGCCAACCGAGCAGTTCGAAAGCATGTAAAAAAATGCAGGTAGGAAAATATGGACCCCTTTGGTGGGAAGGGAACAGCGTTCCTCTGTGCGCCTTTGAAGGCGTTTAATCCTGCCGGCCACATGACCACGGAGACGTCTCTGGACAGCGCTGGCTCTTCGGCTTTGTAAGGGAGATGAGCAGCGCCCCCTAGAGCCAGAAACGACTAGCATGGATGTGCAAGGCGGGGACCCTTTACCTTACCCCGAAATGAAACGGATCCACCTCACCCCGCCGCACCCCCTGCATAGAAGGCGGCTTCCCAAACTCCCACTCACTGGATGCAGTAGAGGAAGTGGTCCCTCCAGTCGACTGTGCCGTTCTTCTTCCCCACCGTCTGGTTGGCTGTCCTGTGCAGGAGCGTTCGGTTGTTCTGGAAGAACTGCAAAAGGCTGTTGACCGCACAGTCGGAGAGGCTGGCGTTCCGGGGGTTCAGAGGGGCGTAGCAAATGTCCTGCAAGGTGACCTGCCTCTGATGCTTTTCAGACCAGATCTTCAGGCCCTGCAGCCTCGTCTGCAAGTCCAGCAGGTCCAAGAGCACCGCTTGAGAGAAGACCCCGCTGAAGTTCTGCCGGCCCCAGAAAATGGAATCGTAAATGTAGCTCGAGGGGTTCTTGGCTGTCAGGATGATTTGGTTGGTCCGGAAGAAGGGCCCAAAGTGCTCCTCGTAGAGCGCTTTCTCCTGCCGGGCCTGGCTGTCGGGAGAGGCCCAGAGCTCCAGGGGGTCTGTGGTCAGTTCCATCCACATCATTCCGCTGGAAAGCCCTGCCACAATGGCTAGAGAAAGGAGGACGACTTTGATGGGGTTAGAGGCCACCAGGGTGCCCCAACTGCTGAAGGCCTTCACGAAGAAGTCGTACACGGCCTGGCTCACCTTCTCAGAGGTGGCCGACTTAGTCACAGCGTCCTCTTTGCTGCGGCCCTTCTGCTTCTCGGGTGAGGAGCGCCTCTGCCACAGCAGCAAGGACATAAAGGACAGCGCAACCACCCCGAAGAGAAGGATGGAGGCAAAGAGGACCCCGTCCATGCTGCCCACTTTGAAGGGCTGGTATTCGGAAGAGGGAAGCTGGATGGCCGGACACGACTGTTCACAGTCCGGACAGGAGCACTTTGGGCTACTATGGACAGCCTCGCTGCACTTCCAGACTGTTTTGTTGAGGGGCAAAATGCCCGTCTCCTCAGCTGCCCAGTCCCCTGGTTTCAGCTGAAAGGAGATGGCCAAGGGGGCCAACCCGTTGCTCGTGTCGCCTTGGAAGTCTAGCCAGCGCTGAGCGTTGCACGCAGCCTTCCCGTACTTGCCACACATGACATCCATGACGTAGCCCCCAGTGGCTGGTATCCTGACTCCCTTGCACGACCGGAAGACTTCCTCGGCAAACTGCTGGCTGTAGAAAGACTGAAACTCCAACACGCCCCTCACCGAAACGTTCATGAAGGTGCCGTTGAAGTCCCGGGTGAAGTCCCGGGTGATGTTGATGAACTGGCTCTGGTTTGGGCTGCAGATGTTCTGGCAGTGGATGTTGGAAAAGTTCTCTGTGCAGGCTGGGCAGCGAGACAGCATGGACCAGAGCGGCATCAAGCTCTGCTCCAGGAATTGCAACTGGCCCAGGGAGCAGCAGGCGTAGGTGCTGTTCTCTCCCGTGAAGAGCATCGGGCACAACTTCTTCAAGTGGCTGAGGTGGGAGCCCGTGAGTAGCCGGGCCGGGGTGTTGGAAAGGCAGGGCACTTTGTGCGGGAGTTGTCCGGTTCCAAGTTCAGGATTCAGGCCACATTCACCATAGGCGGCACAGTATCCTGCCCGGTGGATTTCGGTCAAGGCGGCAGCCTGGAAGGCAGAGAGGCAGGGAGAGCTCCTTAATCCCCATGGCTGTTGAGGGGGGCCATGTTTGCGCTGGTGGGAGGGGCTGGGGAAGGAGGAGGGGTCCCTCTGCCCCCATGGGTTGCAATAGGGACTGGACGGCAGATATAGCTGCACGGGGATCAAAGCAACCCCGCCCCGATCAAGCACAGCTTCCTCCTCTTCGGAAGCTCAAGGGGGGGGGCACATTCTGCCGGGGGCCCTTTGAGAAGCCTTAGGATCAGGGGTTGTTGTCTTTCGCGCCCCCCCTCCCCTCCCCAGGCCTTTGAAGTCTTATTTCACCTTCCCAACCAAGGAAGAACCAGGAAACGGGGCCCCCTTTTCCACCCTGCATTGGCTTCTAAGGGAGGGAGGGGCAACCCGCAGCCTGGGGTTCAACGCAGCCTCCCAAACTCTCGTTTTGTCGTCCTTGGAACCATCTCTAAATATCATGACTGAAAACCGATTTCCTGGCATTTTGAAGTGGGAATGTCTATTTATTAAATGTACAGATGTCTCATCTCATGGGATTAGCCTGAAATACGAATGTGGCATTTCAAAAACACATTTCCTCAGATTTGCCACCAAATTAGCCCTACCCACATGTATTATATATCCCCCACCCCCATATCAAGTACCGCCTCTGGCCGAGAGGCTTGTCCCACCCTATTCTAAAGGAAAAGCAGAGGTTTGTCCTGTCCTACCCAGTTAGAGAACGTCAGTCATAGAAGCAGGTCATCCCGTTCCCACCCTTGGTGCCAGCCAGCTCTGCCCTTTTCCAGAAGATGCCCTCCGTCTTCCGTGGCAGGAGCAAAGCGGAAAATGCTCCTGCGTTCCCCCCAGAGGGGAAGAGGCCCGCCAGCCTTTGTTTCTTCACTCCGGGATGCCGGTCTCCAATACGGCTCTTGCTCCCAAAGACTTTTTAGCCTGCCATCTCCTTGAGGCTCACCGTAAAAAGTTAGCCTCATAACTTGAACCGCTTGCCTATGACTGGACCATCTGGGGACAATCTCCTCCTCCTGAATGAACTTCAAAGGATATTTGGGTGTTTGCATACTTGACTTTTCTGTTTGTGTATGTACCTCCAGTTGCCCCAAACTACAGATGTATCTGTTTAGGGAAGCCTTAGAGGAGGAAGTGGTCCTTCGCAGATAAATTGACACACACACCCCGCTGAAGTGTCCGTCCCTTCAAAGGGCCGAGAGGGAGTTCAGGAGAAGCCTTGTAGTTGGGGACACCAGGTCCCTCAAAAGCACACCTTGCTACCAAACCCTTCCCGCCCACAACCTCCGCTGCTGCTGTCATCACTGCTCACCCACCTCGGTCCTCAGGTCCAGACTGGTGCTGAGCACCACTACGGCAAACAGGGCCACCCGCAGCATCCTGGCAAGTCTGGGCTACCGGCAGGGCTCCTCGGAGAAAAGGGAGTGCCAAAGCGCACGCTCGCTCCTCACCTACTTTCAAGATATCACACACACCAATCAGGCTGCACCAGCATCGTGTCCTGGCTTATCATTTACCCAGAGATAGCAGTGGGGTTCTCGCCATGCTGGGCTAGTCCCCACCTACCTGTTTCTCCACCCGCACCCCCGGCTTATTTGGAATCTTGGCCTTGACCCAGCTGGGAAACCGAGGCACGCTTTAGCAGCAAGCACTGCTCTGACCAAGAGGATAGACAGGGGCAGCTGCCTTGACCCTACGGGCCAGATACTGGAGGTTTATAATCTTGCGCCAGGTCTTCCTCATCTACCCCCTATTATGGCATAAAAGAGGGCCGAGGCTGCCTCTTTTCCACGGGAGCTTTTTTGGCCTGACAAATACAATTGACACAAGAAATACTGAAATCCATTCTCGAGGGCAACTTGTGTCGGAAAGGAGCAAAAAAAGGTCTTCCGTAACTCCCAGACAGATCCTGCCACAATAGGCCCTGGTGGTGTTTTTAAAAAAAGAAATTGCTCATCTGTATATCTGCAACCTTACACATTCCTAACAGTCATTTTGGTCTCTGAACTTTCCTCCATGATGTGAGCGCAGCACTTGGTGGAAAGTTGCAACTCCTTTAGAATAAAAAACAATAGCAGCAAATGCAAAAATGAACTTGATGGTTGAAGGGGTCTCGATGAATCGAGAGGTAAAACGCGAGCCAGCACTGCCCAAAACCCCTAAAAGAAGAACTGGCCTGCAACAAAATAATACTGGTTTGGCTCCTATGGCTTCGGTGCCGAACCTTTGGGAGGGAGAGCAAAGGGGGGAAATGTCTTCCTCCGAGCCCAGCAGCCCCAAGAGCGGAAGGAAGCGAGAGGCGGGCAGGTTTCCCCGTTAGGCAGTGTAGGAGGGCAGTGGAGAGCAACGGTCACGGTCAAAGACACAACTCAAAGAGAACAGCGAGATAAGGGGAGGCAGGTGCAAGGCCACAGCGAGCTTGAAAGTTGTAAACAAAGGATCCCAGTTGGATCTTTGATGCATATTCTCCTCCTGTTGAGGATGATGGGCGAAAGGCACTTATCTCCAGAAAGCCACGTCATTTCTATTGCCAAAGAAAATGGGATAGTTTTGAATGATCATCAACAAAGATAAAGAGCAGCCTCTAGGAATTTAAAATGGAGGAACTGAAAGACAACAACGGTTATTTGCTGGAACTTCGGGCCCAGGAGGAAACTACCATAAAGTGTGGGGTTGTTGTTTGTTTTTTACCACTGGACCGGCAAGGTTAAGAAAGTAAAGCATCTAAAAGCTCGCAAAATGAATGGAATTGTGTTATGGCAGACAGAGAAGAACCAGGCCGGCTCTGATGGACATTGCTCGCTTCCGCAGAATTGGGTTTTCACAGGTAATTTTGGACAGGACCCACTTGGAACAAGCATAGGGGCCACACCTATTTAAACAGGGCATAGAAAAAGGCCTCCACCTGTCACTTTCCAGCAAAAGTGAAAGATTTGACACTCCTTGGATATTGGATCAGCTGCGGGACTCTTTTCAAAGCGAGGCCAGCCGGCTGCTTGTCTGGGATGCCATTTTAATTTGCATTCTTGGGCTGGTCGAGGGCCGGACTCGGTGTCCTCAATGGGCCTTTTCTCTTCCACCCAAGGACGCCAAGAGGTTTTTTTTACGCCACTTATTTTTATTAGTTTCTGCAAATACAAAACACAAAGGAAAATAAAAACGAATGGGAAAGTAGGGGAAAGAAAAAGGGAAAAGAAAATGTGAGGTAAAAGTGTGGACCTCAGACTCTTTTTAGCACGGTAGAAGATAACATTACAGCCTCAACCACTTATGTTTGCACATTAGTACATATTAGCCATTTCTAGAACAAACTTAATTGGCAATTAAACTTCATTTAATGGAACGGTTTCCTTGTTCTCCCCCCCTCACAAGCGCTAAATCCAGACGTGATCTTCCGGTGAAGATGGGCCTTTCTCCTTCCGAGGATGATGCCGAGCCCCAACGGATGGCCTCGCCACCTGCCTTCCTGACGGAGCATCCGCCAAAGGCTGCCCCAGCCGTCTCCTTCCTCCCCGCCATCTCCGTAGCTCTGGCCCTTTTAATACCATGACCGAGTCCCCCGTCCTTGCTGGGTGAAATTGGGGGGGGGGGGGCTGCGCAAAAGGGGGAGTCCAGCCAAAGCACTCGGGGGGAGGGGCCTCCTTGCCCTCCTGATCCTTCGCGTGCAACGTCACATCAGGCCAGGCCACACAAAGGCGACACTCTGAGCCTCTTATCCTGCCACTTCAAGGTTTACAATCCTGTCCTGGCCTTGAGGCCTGATAAAGCCGGGCAAGAGTCCACCAGCCGCCACCCCGGCCCACTGGTTGGCAAGGCGCCCTGGGGCCGGCTGCTCCAGCCTGCCGGGAAGAACCTTTTCTGGCAACAGGCGCCGTCCGGCCCTTTCGCACGCCGGTTGGTTTTATTTAGGCGAAGAGGGTGCGCGCCGCCTCTGCTCCAGAGCCAACTCCGCTGGCTCCCGGAAATTCACAGTGCTGCTTCCCACGAGGCCGAGGTGTTTGCGGGACGCCCTCCCGCCTTGCCTGCTCCTCTGAAGGCCATCCGCACGAGAGCACCCAAGAGACGCAGCCAGAGTCAGGAATCGGCACCAGGTGCCCCACGAAAGGGTTTTTTTTGTCCTGGCTATGGCAATTTATTGAGCCGGGGGCAGTTTGGCAAGAGGAGCCCAGGGACGGGGGGAGAGAGCGAGAGCAGCTGTAGGGCCCTCCTGACCTCCGGGCCAGGGGAACCGGTCTCTGGTCACTCCCAGGGATCCTGCGGCTGGTGGGAGCCGAGGGCTCCGGTGGCTTATCTGGGCTTGGCCAAGGCCCGAAACTTCTTCCGGGTGTTCTTGAAGCTGTGCAGGGGGTTCCGCTGGCCCTGCGAAGGAGGTCGTGGCGTTAGCCCCCCCGCCCCAGGACCACCCGAGAGCTCCAGCCCAGCCCTTGGCCGCCAGGCTCGGCCGCTGCAGTTGCTCCCCTGGGAACGGGGGGTGGGCAGCAGAGGAGACCACCAACCTTGCTAGTGGAGGCTGGGCATTTCCGCCGCTTGCGCTTCCCAGGGAGGGCTGGCACTGCTGGTCGTAGACCCTGAGGCACTGCAAGAGGAAGAGCCTGTCAGCTTCCAGAAAGGCAACCCCCACCCCCACCCCACCCCCCGGCCCCTCCTGGCCCTGCGCACAGCCCGCCAGGTGCTTCCACTTCCTTGGGAAACCCAGGGGAGGCTTCTGCCCCAAATCCAGCCCACTGGAAAGGAGAAAGGCCCACGTCTACGAGAAAGAGGGGAAGCGCCACGCCTGTCCGAGACGCAGAGGGGCCTTCGGTTTCTAGCAGCCCCTCCCTCCCCAACAGCGGAGAAGCCCCTCCAAAGCGTGGCCCCTACCCAGGTATTCTGGGATGTTGCGCAGGTGGGGCTTCACGATGGCCGGGTGAAGGGGCTTGTCGTGGCGCAGCAGGTTCAGATCCCGGGGATTGTCTTCGAAGTACGTCTGGGAGAGAAAGGACCAACGGGCGGATCAGCTGGACGGAGGCCGCCCCTGGGAAGGAGAAGGGAGCAGTGGGGGGAGGAGATGGGGGGGGGATTGGGGCCAGCTTCTCCGCCCCACACGGGGTACCTTGAGCTTCTCCGAGTTGAGCAGCTCTTCTTTGATTTCACGGAGCCGAGCTTCTTTGATAGCCTGCTTGGTGATCGACCGCATGGCATCCTGGGGCAGAGGGGAGGAGAGAAGGGGCCATTAATGGCGCTTCATGCCCCAAGCCGAGGCTCTTCGGACTGGGCCAGTTTAAGGCTTGTGGACTTCCACTCCCAGGATTCTCCAGCCAGCTATGCCGCCCCTCCCTCTTTCTGGACCCCCAGGAAAATAGAAAACTTCCCTTCCTCATCCATTGCACACTTTATCTCACACTCTTTATGGCCAGGGTCTTCAAACTGGACAGCTTTAAGGCTTTGTGGGCTTCCACTCCCAGAATTCCTGAGCTAACATGACTGGAGGACGAATTCTGGGAGTGGAAGTCCACAAAGCCTTAAAGCTGTCCAGTTTGAAGACCCCTGGAATAGATAAAGAGAGATCGAATAGATAGAGTGAGAAAGATAGGATAGGATAGGATAGGATAGGATAGGATAGGATAGATGGTCTTCAAACTGGACAGCTTTAAGGCTTTGTGGACTTCCACTCCCAGAATCCCTGAGGTAACATGACTGGAGGAAGAATTCTGGGAGTTGAAGTCCACAAAGCCTTAAAGCTGTCCAGACTGAAGACCCCCTGCCCTAAACCAACCACTATAGGAGGGAGGGGAGGCAGCAAGAGGTGTCAGAAGACCCCCCAGGCTGCCGCATTAAGGCCGCCACGGTGTTCCCTCACGTCTCTCTGTCTTCTCCTCTGTTTGGCCTGGGCTCCCTCTCGTGCGCTAGTGTGGCCACTTGCTACAGGAAGTAACTTTCTCTTCCAGAAAGTTCCCCTTGAAGCCCTGATGGCAAAGACTCAACGCTCCCGATTCTCAGCAAGGGGCCCAGCTTCCTCCCCCCACACTCCCACAGGAGACCGCAGTGGCGATGTGGCTCTTGCTGGCAACTGTGGGAACCGCAGCTGCTCTTCAACTCAGCCACGTCCTTCCCCGAGGACCCCACCTCGGCCTCCTCTGCGTCAAGCGGCTTTTACCTGACAGCGGTAGCGGAGCCCCTCGATCTCCCCCATCCGGAACTGGTAGGGCGTCAAGGTGCACTTGCTTGCGCTCTCTGAAGGACCAAGCACAGTATAGAGTTTGCCGGGGACAGCCGTGCATTGCTGACAACCCAGGGTGGGGCCCCGGAGCTGGCCGGGGAGGGAGGTCCCAAGACTCCCGGCCCCCTGCGCTCTGGGCCTGGCTTATCCAGAGCCTCGGGGACACCCCCCCCCACCCTCCCTGGACCCCGTAATTCTTCCCTCACCCACCGGCTGTAAGCACCTCTTCGATTCTGGCCAGCTGAAGCCTCTCAGAGGGCAGGACGAAGGTCAGGACTGTGCCTGGGTTCTGAACACGGGCTGTCCTGCAAGGGAGTCAACGGCTGAGAGAGGAGGGGGGCAAACGAGGGCCTCAAGGCCCAGCAAGAGGATCCCCCCTCCTGCCTCAGAGAATGAAGGTGGCAGCTGCCTTCAGTCGCAACAAAAGGCGCCTGAGAGCACCTGAACTTCCTTCAAAGCTCCTGGCCTGGCTGTGCAACTTCAAGCACAACACTTGCACTTTGTGCCCAAATAAATCTTTGGGGATTTTAGATGGTCTTTATCTTCCTATTTGAAATTGTTTTGTTGTTCAATCCTCTTCAAGGACAAATGGTTTTATTTTTAGTCATAGGAAAAGCCAAACAGACCTAGGGTAGACTTGTGTTAAGCAGAAACGCTTGTGGACTTTCCAATTAAAACCAGAGACCAGCACCCAGAGCAAAGAACTTCAGTTCTTGCTGGATTATTTACCATCCTGGGGAAAGTTCAGAGCAAGACTTTAGCTGGGAAGAGGGCAGGGAATTGCTTCTTAGGAAACACGAGTTGTGTGGAACGTGGAAGCCTTCTCCACTCCATATTAACAAAAAACAGGACCCAAAAGCAATAGAATTTGCCTTTTCAAAGGGACCCAGAAGCCAAAGTATCTGCCAGATTCTTTCCCCAAACTGCCCCCGTCTGCCGTGCCAGGCTAGAGCCCTGGGAGGGGCTGGGCATTCCCGCGTTGCCACATTTCTGCGGAAGAGACCCTCCTGGGTTTGGCCACCGACCTGCCCGCTCGGTGAATGTAGGATTCGAAGGAGGGGGGCAAATCAAAGTTGAAGACCGCGGACACGTTGTGGAAGTCGATGCCTCGGGAGACCCCGTACTCCTGGTCTTGGCCCCTGAAAGGCAGAGCAGAGGCTCAGGTGGGAAGCCGCGTCCAAGGAGGCCACGACTGCCCGGCTATCAAGCCAAGGAGGAAAACCCGAGGCCTCTTCCAGCCACCCTCCCACTATCAATATGAAGAATTCTCTCTCTCTCTCTCTCTCTGTGTTGGGGGGGACGGGGGACGACAGACTCACTTTTCTCCTTTGGTGCCCTTCTTCCTCTTCCTGCTAGTCACCTCTGGTTCTGCCAGGTCCTGCTCATCTGTGGCAATGATGTAACTGTAGACGCCCCGATTGAACTGGCTGATGATGTGGCACCTGGAAGAAGGCCAGACCAGGCTTTGAGGGCTGTTCCCAAACCCCAGAGATCATCAAGCCCCAGAAAACTAGCAACATTAATGGTGTGCTGTCATCCTGCCAGCGTCCCTGGGGCAGCAGCCGGCTGGCTTAACCCTTTCAATCCGGAAGCATCCGAAGTAAGGAAGGAAGGAGGGTCTTTCCTGGTCCCTGTCCAGGAGATATCGGCCCTTCCTCCCGCAAGCCCAGGCTCCCCTTTCTTGGGGCTCACCGGGACTGAGCAGGCAGCTCCGAGTTGAGGACACAGGCAGCGATCCCAAACTGCTCCAGGAAGAGTTTGAGGCGGTAGCAGCGGTCGATCCTGTTGACAAAGAGGAGGACTTTTCCCCGCACCAGGGAGAGCTTCAGGAGGGCGTAGAGGAGCAAAAATTTATCCTCTTCGGTCTCGCACTTGATCTGGAACTGGCTCAGCTGGGAGCTGTCTGGCAAGGGGGCTTCTTGCAGCCGGAGAGTCACCTGCGTAAGGGGAGCGTGGAAACATGGCCATCACACAGCCAGGAGGACACAGGAAGTGGCTTCTTCCAGGCTCTGTGCCACCACAGCTGGGCCGAAGCCAAGCCCGACTCAAGGTTGGCCATCTGCAGTACAAAGCCTGTGATCCAGGCAGGCACCAGGCCGGCCTCTGCCCTCTCCCCACCCCCCCTCCCCGCCAATGCCAACCCGCCATTCCTTACCGGGTTGTGCAGCACCAGCTCCTTCAGTGTCTGCACATCCTCGTTGAAGGTAGCCGACATGATGAAGGTCTGGTAGATCTTGGGCAAATGGCTGCAAGGAAACACGACTGCATCAGCCACACGGATGGGACGGCAGAGCAAACCCAAAGCCCACCATGCACCACCCCCCCCAGCAGAAGAGAACAAAATGCCCCCAAGACAACGGTCACAGAACACTTCAGTGAACAACTCTTGCTTAAAACAACAAATAATAGCTTTAATGTCATCACAGAATAAATGGAGTTAGTTCTCTAAAAACATTTCTGAAATCAAAACATTCTAAGACAACTTTTTTTTAACTTCCTCTTAACAAAGTTCACTTTCAGACTAATAAAATTCCAACCAACTCCAATTAACTCATTAAATTTAGATCACTCCCGAGTTACCCTCATAGAATATTTTTTCACTTAACAACATAAATTTTGGGCTCAGTTGTGGTCATAAGTTGAGGACTACCTTCATCTTGATTAAGCTAAAAGAGGCTCTCTTTAACCAGAGCCTGTTATTTCCTTTTTTGAAGGTCTGTACCATTCTGGGAATTTCTTCTTGTTAAACAACAACAAGAAAGCTGCTAAGGCAAGTTAAAATAAAGAATCTTAAAAAAAAAAGAGGGAGGGCAGACTGTTCAACAGGGTGGGGGCAACAGCAGCGAAGTCTCTCATCCTGGACCTAATTGACAGGGTCAGTTACCTGACCAGGTGGGATGGGCCAATGTAACAGGATGAAAACCGTTCTGTTTTCTTCCTTCATTTTCTCTTATGCTACTGAACCATAAAATCACAGCACTTCAGAATCAGAACTCACCAGAGGAGATTCTTCAAGTCTTCCTCAAAGCCAAATGAAAAAAGCAAGTCAGCTTCATCTATCACCAAAATTTCTAACGAATTCTGCAGTCTCAGGTTTTGCATTTGCAGATGTGCCAAAACCCGTGATGGTGTTCCTATCACCACATCTGGTTTCTCCATCAAGAGGGGTCTGCAAGACAAAAAACTGGAGGTGTAAAGACCAAAGGTTGGAGGAATCACAGGTAACTCTCTGAAAGAATGCTGGGGAAGATAAGCCAAGGCCAACTCAGTGGCATCGTCCAGATGGGAAGTCTTTCCTCTTTTTATATATAACTTGTATTAAGAATTGTGATTATAACAGTGAAATACAAACTAAGCAAATTATTTATTTAGCATACAATGAGAATATGACAGAATCAAACATATATACGCAGTCCATGTAATTATAAGTAAACACAACTTAAAGAAAAAAAATGCAAAAAATAAAAAAAATTGAGAAAAAGAGAAACGTTAAGTAGATTTCAAACAAAGCAAACTTTTTTCTCTCTCCTTTGGGGGAAATATAATGTTCTGCCTCTTTTAGTCTTCCCCCAAATATTTCATTCTCTGGAGGGGCGGAGGGGGCTTCTCTACACGGGGGAGGCCACTGAAGGGCCACGGAGGGGCTTCCAGCCGCTCCCCCCTCCTCCTCCTCCTCCTCCTCCTGCCATGCGGCCTCTGCTGCTGCTGCTGCCGCTCACCTCTGGGCGCTCAGGTCCTCCGGGCCGGCCAGGTCGACGGCGCGCACGTCCCGAGCGCAGTAGGCGGCCAGCCTCCGAAGCATCCGCAGCGCCTGCCGGGCCAGCTCCTTGGTGGGCACCAGCACCAGGGCCCGCACCGCCTGCTCCGCCACCAGCGCCGCCTGCCAAGGAGGAGGGGGGGCTCAGGCCAGGCCGGCGGAGACCCCCCCCCCGCCCCGTCGTCCGCCCCGCAAGCCCCGGCCACTCACCCCCTTGGCGGCCAGCAGGCGCTGCAGCAGCGGCAGGGCGTAGGCGCCCGTCTTCCCGGAGCCCGTCCGGGCCCTGGCCAGCAGGTCCTTCCCCTCCAGCGCCAGCGGCACCGCCTTCTCCTGGATGGGGGTCGGCGCCGCCCAGCCCAGCTCGGCCACCGCCTGCCGGGAACACAGCAAGCCCGCCCGGTCAGCACCCGCGCCGGAGGGGCCCCGGCCCGCCAGACCCACCGCCCGCCCGCCCGCTACCTGCAGGAGCCGCGCGTCCAGGCCCATCTGGCCGAAGCCCCCCTCCGCCGCCGCCGCCCCCTCCGCCGCCGCCATGCTTTCGCTGCTGCGCCCCCTCCGCATCCGCCGGAAGTGGCGGCGGGGGTCGTAGGGCGGCATCATAGAGCCGCCCGAGCGGAGCGGCCCCGCCCCGCCACAGCAGCCTCTGATGGCGGGCGGGCGAACGAACGGCAGCCACCCCGGACCTCCCGAGGGCGCTTCTCCCTCGCTCCCCGCTGCGAAGTGGCTTTCTCTGCCCGGGTTTGGGAGAGTGCAAGGCCGGGCGGCTCCTCCGGGCGGCAGGAAGGCTTTTGGCTTTGTGATCCTTCCGCTGATGCTGCGGGTGGCTTTGCTCCCTATTTCCCAGGGGAGGGCGGCCTTTTTTTTTTTTTTTGACCCACAGCTGCTCAGGGGTCACCTTGCAAAACCCGGAGCCCCTTGCACGAGGGGGGCACCTGGGGTGGGTGAGGCTGCCAAGAGCAGCCCTTCATCACCTTGGGCTCCCCAGGGGATCAGAAGGCCTGCAGGTGCTCCTGGAAAGAGCCCGAGGTTATTGCCCTGGACCGAGTAGGGCTGCGAAAGTTGGACCCTAAGGAAGGCTGAGCGCCAAAGAATGGGGGCCTTTGAACTCGGGGTGCTGGAGAAAACGACTCCTGCGAGTCCCCTCGGACTGCAAGGCCATCCACCCCGTCAGTCTGAGGGGAGATCCACCCTGACTGCTCTTTAGGCCAGGTCCCGAAGAGGCAACTCAAAGGCATTGGCTACCTCATGAGAAGGAAGGACTCCCTGGAGAAGAGGAGCCGAATGCTGGGAACAACTGAGGGCAAAAGGAGAAGGAGGGGATGGCCGAGAATGAGGGGGGCTCGATGGAGTCACTGAAGCCGTTGCCGTGAGCTTAAATGGACTCTGGAGGACAGGAAGGCCCGGAGGAACATGGTCCATGGAATCGCGATGGGTTGGACACGACTTCGCAACTAACAACAAAAGTGGGGCTTTCAAGGCCTCTAGCTCAGGGGTCTCCAGCCTTGGCCACTCTAAGCCTGGCGGACTTCAACTCCCTTTGAGCTTTGCTGGCTGGGGAATTCTGGGAGTTGAAGTCCTCCAGACTTAAAGTGGCCAAGGTTGGAGGCTCCTTCTCTACTTGACGCAAACCTATGTAGGCCACCTGATCGCTTGGGATGTATTTCAGAGGCCAATAAAGGATCATATTTGTAGCTGGGGGTTAAAAATAAGGGTTCCTTTCTAAGCTTGGTTGTTTCCTTGCCACCCATTTCATTACCCAAGCTAGGTATTGTAAGCTCAACCGCAGAGAACACCAAGGTTTGAGGACCCAGACGGTTGGGGGAGGGAGGGCAAGAGGCTGGTAAACCACTTAGGCGGCTGTAAAACACTGTGGAGCAGTATAGAAGCCCAAGGGCCAAGTGCTTATTTCAGAGCGCAACACAATTCCAAGGATCTGGCTGTATCAGGGTTACGACACAGTTCCCTTTACCTGTTGATGGGAGAAGGAAGCTATGGGTTTTTTACATCTACAGGTAGTCGATTTACAACTCATCCCAAAATGTATTAAGCAAGACAGCTTTAAAATGAATTTTGCTCCTTTTTATGACTTGGCAGTTGTTAAGTGAATCACTGAAGTAACATCCTGCTTCCCCGGTCAGGCTGCAAAAGGGGATTATGTGACTCAGGGAAACTGAGTTGCCAAGCGTCCCAATTCTGATCATTGGAAGCTGCAACACTCATGTGAAAAGCAATAGGCCCCTTTTTTTCAGTGCCGTTGCAATTTTGGTCCCTAAACAAATGGTTGTAAGTCAAGAACTACCTGTAGACTGAGAAATACTGGGATATTATCCTAAAACCTCTTGGGGAAGTGATTAAATGGATTTTTTGGCCTTTTTGCTACCACCAGTGAAGAATTTGTGGACTTTTATAGTTCAGCAGGTTTTCACCCTTGTTTTTCCCCACCAACGAATAGAGAAAGCCTCTTTCAAAAAAGCTTTATTTCAATCCAAAACTGTAACAAACGGGCCTCGTGACAAACTTGCCCAGGCAAGCAGAGAAGGAAAAAAAAAAGCCCCCTTCCAGCCCTACTACTTCAGAGGTCCAATTCTGCTGCCAAACTGCATCACTGTGTTGCTCCGTAGCTGGATTATTTACAGGATCTACTTCCAAATCACAGAAAGGCTGGTAAGAAGAGATGACACTATTATTCTATCCAAGGAGTATCTCCATCTGAGAGTAGCTCTAAGTCAAACTATTTACGAATTTAAGGGGGTTCTTTATTTGACCTTTACAACAAACCTGGGGGCAACTTCTACTACCCCCTCATTTGCATGGATTCTCCAGCCTAGAACAAATCTTTGCTTAGAGAACTGAGAACTTAAAAAAAAAAGGATTTTGAAGAGAAAATGCTGCAAAAAAAAATCCTTCGATCCCTTGGCCACCTGACAACCGCTGAAATGCTAAACAATATTTAGACCAATGACATTTGAACAAGGAAGGCTTGCTGCACAGTTCCGACGTAAATCTGTTTTTCCCTCTAGTTGTATTCTGTGGAATAGTTCAGGAGTTACAGGGGCCTTTAGAAGAGAAGCTTTTAGGCAAACTATAGCTCTTACAAAAGGAATGGAAGGAGCCCTCCGTCTTTGGTAAAGCAGCTTCTTGGAATGTTCCAGGAAAGCTCGACGCTGGAGGCAAGCTATCCTTACTAGCTTCACAGCACAAAAATACGGTAACCTTTGAGATGTTTTTGTGGATTTGTATAATTGGGACAGGGGCCTTGTCTGTGGTGCTTCTTTCTCGGTTTGGTACTTAAATTAAAAAAAAAAATACTCAATGGAAAGCAACAATGGGGCACTGGTGAATAATGGCCTGTGGGATTCTGAAGACGTTAAACCAATTTTTTGGCTTCAAAGAAACTCTTGAGGTGCCTCATTTGCCAAATGCCTGTGAGGAGGAGGATGACCGTCTGTGCGATAGACCACCAGAGCACCCGCTGGTTGGTGCTCTCACTCGTCATGCGGAACCTCTCCTCTCGGAACTGCAGAGGGAACACAGCGGTCAGCATCAAGAACACACCGGGCCCAACTCCTCCCGTCACGCTTCATTCAGCCGCTGCCCTCCACCTGACCCAGGTCTCCTTCAGACGCAGGACCTTTCCCGTTTCGCAGAGCATCTTGCATCACTTTGCCATTCTCGCATCCCACTCAGAGAGAAAGCCAGCAAGTTCACCCGGAGTAGAATACTACGGGCTTTTTCATCCACTTCCATCTATAATAGGTTAAAACGCTACACAGCAACCTCGTCCTTCTGGCTCCAGACCAACGCAACTTGTAAGGGACTTGGGATAATAATCCCGGTGTGGCCTCTTTCTTATTGTGTCCAAAGGTGACCCAAACTCAGCTACCTTAGTCGCTCTGGTGTCAAAACATTTGTTTCTCCAATGCCATGCCCAGGATGTCTAACGTCAGACCACTCTTTACCTTGGAGGGAAATTCGGGGCTGCACTGACGGGCAAGAAATACACCTGTCCAGGGGCTGTGGGTGAGAGCTCCGAGCTTGGCCATTCGAAACGTTGCGTTGGCGTTCGGACACCGTTCGTTTCCAACCAAGCGGCCGAGCTCGGAGCTCAGCCCAACAGCCCAACTACTTGCTCGAGCTGCTTCTATTCCAATGCCTTTCAAACACTTATCCATTTCCCGCAAGCACCTTGGCAGCAGGAAAGCCCATTTCCCACACCATCGCAGGGAGCCAGCACAAAGAGGGCCCCTCCCCGGGGCCGCCTGGCAGCCTCACCCTTTGGTAGTTCTGCTCCTTCTGGATCTGCTCCACCTGGTCCAGCAGCTGCCTGGCTCGCAGCTGCAGCTCCGTCAGCTTGTCCTTGGCCGCGATCTCCGGATAGTTATTGGCATGCTCCCCTACCTGGAGGTCCAGGTGCACCCGCTGCAGCAGAGACAGAGTTTAGTTTACTTTATTGTACAACGAAATTAAATAGAGCATCGGGGAGGAACGGGATGAGAGGGCAGGGCCTCACGGGCGAGGGGGTGTCTGTCGCCCTTCCTCCTCCTTTCCCTCCTCCCTGGACCAAAGACACCAGGTGTTTGGGAGGGGGGAGGGGGCAGAGCCTCATGGGGGGGCTGTCCCCCTCCCTCCCTACTTCCCCTCCTCCCTCTGCACCCCCCCCAACCAGAGACAGGGCGTGTTTGAGAGGGGCAATCCTTGGAGGGGGCCTCTCCCCCGGCTTCCCTCCCCCCCCCCCCATGTCTCCCCCCGGCCTACCCCTGTCCCCTCCCTCTCCCCCCTCTTACCAGCTTCCCCCCCGCGAAGAGCGCCAGGCGGGTGGAGTTGGAGTGCAGGCAGATCTGGTGCTCCCCGGGGGTGTGCGAGGTGAAGGTGAAGCGGCCCTCCGAGCCGTACTGCCGCGAGAGGATCACCTGCGGGGGAGGAGGGGGGGTCAGGTGGGCGGGGGGGCGGTTTCAGCCCCCCTCCTCCTCCCGCCCAGCCCGGACAGGCCGGGCCCGCCTCACCTTGGCGTCCGGGTCCCGGACCTCCACGAACATGCCCAGCCCGGGCGTGGAGGGCAGGAAGGCCTCGGCCTGCTTGTCCCACAGCTGCGTCCGGTAGTTGCCTAGGAGACGAGGGGGGAGGGGCGGCGGTCAGCCGGAGGGAGGGCGCGACCCCCCCCCGCACCGCCAGAGCCCCCCCCCGCGCCCCCCTCACCGATAACCATGGTCTCGTCCGGGATCTCCTCGATGAAGCAACGCTTCTCCGTCTCCCCGATGTGGAAGTAGAGGCCCCGCGCGGCCCGGCCGGCCAAGAGCAGCGCGCCCAGCAACGCCACGAACCACCCGGCAGCCATGGCGCCCCGCCGACGCCGAGCGCGCATGCGCGGCCGGTCACGTGGCCCGACGCCCCAGCCTGGCGCCCGCGGGCTCCCTCAGGGCCCCCTTCAGCCGCCGGGCCCGTCTCGGGCTTGGCCCTCCCTTGGGAGGTCGGGAAGGGCCGAAACCCAGGCACCCAGTGGCTCTGGAGTTGAAGAAGAGACCGGACTGCCGTCTGTTAGAAATGGTGTAGGGTCTCCTGCCTGGCGTGGGGCGGGGGGTTGGACTAGATGACCTCCAAGGTCCCTTCCAACTCTGTTAATCTGACTAGTCAGGAGTCAGAGTTGGGAACTTTGGAGGTCTTCTAGTCCAACCCCCTGCTGGATCAGGAGATCGTACACTACTGCAGACAAGAGGCGGTCTCTTCTTAAAAGCCTCCCGTGATGAAGCAGCCACAACTCTCTCGAAGACAAGATGTTCCACTTCGTCCTCACTGCCAGGAAATGTCCCCTTAGTTCTAGGTTGGAGCTTTGTTAATAACATCCCACCCGTTACTTCTTGTACCTTGGCAACTTTTAAGACTTGTGGACTTCAACTCCCAGCAAAGCTGGCTGAGGAATTCTGGGAGTTGAAGTCCATAAGTCTTAAAGTTGCCAAGGTTGGACACCCCTGATTTAGAGGAATGTAGCACAACACAATGTGCCAGAGATAAAGGAAATGTAACAACACACATTCAGAATTAGATAGGAAGTTACAAGATCGGCAACAAGAAAATAAGCGGCAGAAACCACAAGTAGGAACACATACAGCTTAAACAAGCTATAACTCTATGATGTCAAAATGACACGTATGCTCAACCAGGCGCAACTCCACAAACAAGCAGGCACGTAGACTAAAAGCAAGGTAGAACTCCAAAAAAGGTAATAGCTTTGTGAAATGTTACTTCCCTATTTCTGGAAATCAACGGTATAAAAGATCGTGCTGTGCTCTTGTTCAGGATCTCGGCTCCCAAATTGGACAGGAAGCCTTTTGCTGAAGCACTTCAATAAAAGATTTTCAAAAGTTTTGTCTCTCATGTCTGGCTCTGATTGGCTTCTGTGCCAGGCTGAACCAAGTTTTGGACAACAGCTTTTCTCACCATTGAATTTCATTTTGTTGGACGAGATCGAGCGTTCAAGTCTGCCAAGATCCTTCCGGCTCTTGAGCCCATCTTTTAAAGTGGTGGCTATTCCTCCCAACTTGGTGTCATCTGCAAATCTGAGGAGTTCCCCATCATTTATGAAGAGGTTGAAGGCACTGGCTTAAGACAGAACCTCAGGGTATCTCTCTGCATGCTTCCCTCCCTGCAGATGTAGTTCTTGCCTGGAATTAGGCTGTGACCTATTTTTCCAAATGCCCTACTGAAGTCCATGTAGATATATGTCCACAGCATTTCACTGGTCTACTGGTTTAATCACTTCGTCAAAGAATGCAATAAGATTTCTCTGGCATGATCATGTTTACAATTTGTGCCACATTTAAGAGAGCCATCCTTGCCAAAGAGCAGTCCTTGTTCTACATTTTAAAACCCAAATCTTGGAGATTTGGTCACGCCTTTTCAGATACTTCCGGCTGTTCCGTAGCTTGGTGGGTGAACCCTTAGAGGTTCCAGTTGACGCCGAAAGAAGGGGAAGCCATGGGGAACTCACAAGGAGAGGAGAAGCTGCCTCAGTCAGGTATGGTGGGGCCGATGGAAGGAGATAGTTCAACTCTCGTGATGCTCAGACAAGAAAAACATGTTTTATGCTCGCTTATTTGCATTTTGGAAATGGAAGGTCTTTGGAATAACAGGATGCCAAGAAAAGTTAATGACTTTTTAAAGGAGACACTATTTATTTGAGGACTCTGCATTATTTGGCAATAAGAGTTCCTGGATGCACTTCCCATCTTAATTTATTTTGAATGCAGTTTTTTTTTTGTAAATATCTACATTCTTCGTTAACAACGTAAAGTTGCTTTCATTTATGTGCTGTGGTCTCACTTCCCCTTTGTATGTACTAGCAGTAGGAACCCATTCTATTCATTTGGGGAAGTTTAGTTTCAGCACCCAGAGTTGCGACATGAATTGCAACAGGCACGAAAGTTGTTGGAAATTTGACGGGTTATGTCACAGACGTGTCACGTCTGGAAATAACGTACATTCCAATTGTGTAGTTGTCATGGACTTTATAAAACAGCCAGCTGGGCTGATTCAGCAGAGATGGTCAATTTGTTGCACACAATGGAGTCTGGCAGGTACTCAACAAATAAATTGAGCCTTTTCCTGCTTTCTGTTCTGTGTGCAGCTGGAAACAAGACCTGGGCTCACGGAGTCGTCTTCAAGTCGCGGTAAGTGCCCTGGGTGAGCCGTTTGGGCAGCTTGGCCAAGGGGGCAAAGGGGGAGACCCCGGGGAGCTTTCCATAGCTTGGGCCACACCGACCTCACGGAGCCCTCTCCCCATTCTCCCAGCCTCCAGGAAGACACCTGAAGCCCCAAAGAAAAGAGGGCTGAGTCCCACCCAGCACCTGTTTGCTCATTTCACTGAAAACGGGGTGCCCAGCCTCTTGAGACAAAGAGGGGGGGCTCTTTTCTCAAGACATAAATCCCTGAAGGAATGGAAGCAATTTTCTTCTGGCCAAAAATCTCGCTTGCTTTGGAAAGAGAGATGGGCTGATGTCCCTCCTCTACTCTCTCAAGGCATTACCAGAATATTCTGCCCCACAATTTTGAGATTGTTTGTGAGACTCAAGATTGTAGGTCCTGCTAGGAATAAATTTACGATAGCATCTATTTGTAGCACCATTTTCTCCAAAGAAAATGGTGAGGTCTGTGTTGTAAGAGGATTTGCCCCTGAATGGAAGCTTTAGAGAAGAGAGAGCTGGTCTAGTGTTTTTATGGTGTTTATTTAATGCTTTAGAATTGCATCAATTTTAGGTTTCATAAGCTACCCAAAACTACAAGCGAGTGGAGCAAGTGGCGTAAAACGGAGCAAGTGGCATATAAAGGTAGATTGCAGACTGGCTCTTTTCCCATTACGAATATGAGGACTTTGCTTGGGTTTTCCTGCCCAAAGGAGATTTGAGCAAATAAGCAAAGGGAGTAGATGAACAGCAGCTCACACTATAAAAAGCAAGATGGTTCTTACATCAACAAGAAGCATTTGGGCCCACCTATCAAATAAAAGACTGCTGTATAATGTTTTTTATTTATTTTTATTCCACCATTGTCATTTTAATAAATAAGATAGCAAATATACCCAATACACCTTCCTCCTCCTATTTTCCCCACAACAACAGTCAATGTAGAGGCGAATGGCTGAAGAGAGGGGGAAAAAAGTATAATTTTTCTTTTAAAACACGAATCTTGACATTTCAGACTCTGGGATGTAAACCAGAAGTCCCTCTACCTTCAGAACAATGAACTGATAGCCGGATACTTGCAAGCTCCCAACTCTGCACTGGAAGGTGAGTCTTTCCTAAAACCGCATAGAGGAGGGATAAGATCACCTTTGCAGCTTTAGACTCTATTTTCATTTGTATTTGATTTATTTGATTTGTCAATCGCTTACAAGATAATAGATATAAGTATAAACAAGAGAAAGAATATAGGAAATAGTTAAGAATAAATGGGGACGATAGGACAGGGACAGTAGGCACGATGGTGCCCTTAGGCACGGCCCTTCTTCTGAGGTCAGACGGCCACCCACAGGAGCTCAAGGGGCTGGAGGATTTCCCTAGCAACTTACTGGTTTGTTATGGGGAGATGGGGAAGTTTGCACCATGATGCACATATGCATGGCTTGCTCTATTTCTTTCGTGTTGTCACTCTTCTCAGTGTGTCTGCTTGATTCAAACAAGCAAATATTAATAACGAATTTATTGCTAGATTTTTTTTCAAAGAGAATGTCAAGTAAAATCAAGGGGAAGCACTTTCATTGCCATTCTGGCTTCTGCAGCGCCTCATTTCTTTTCTGCCTCCAGCATACAGTGCTGCTCTCGACCCATTCCCCCAACTTCACCCTGGTTGGACCCCTAATGTGAATTCTTTATTCCAGACCTGATGTATAGGAAAACTCCCCACTTGTGAAAAAAGTGTTGGTTTGACTCGGAGGAGAATGCCATTTACTGCAGAAAAAAAAATACTCAAGGTTCATGGGATTTTTCACGAGAGCAGAGAATAGCGATATTTTCAGCCACGGAGGTTTCCTGAATGGCTCTCAACCTAATTTATTTCACAGGATCTGTCCCCAAAATAAACTGATGGAGGAAAGAATTTTCTGCCTGGGGGGATGAAGTGCTGAAGTAAACCAATCCATGAAATAGAGAGGAAAAACACAAATAAAGCTGGAGTTTGTTTTTTTTCCAGGCTGCTCACATTCTCTGCCATCTTCTTCTTCCCCCTTCCAGAAAAGATTTTCTGGATCCGCAACCGGGCCTTTGGCCAGGAGAACTTCCCGGTCATCCTGAGCATTCAGGATGGGAAAAGCAGCCTGGCCTGCTCTCCTGGGACCCCACCGGAGCTGCAGTTGGAGGTGAGCAGAAACGGTTGGTCTGATGATGCCCCAGAGCACTTTTACCTCTGCTGCCACTTGGCACTTCCTACACACAGTGACTGCAGAGCGGAGCTCTCTGTGTATGCACACAGGGGAGGAAGGAATTACAACATCCTGTTGGGTGTGTGTGTGTGTGTGTGTGTGTGTGTGTGTTTGTGTGGGAGCCTCTCTCCCAGCCAACCTTACATCCAGGTAAGCACAGCTTTCTGTGACCCATCATAAGTGTAAGAGAGCAGCGGAGGCCAGACTGAATCCTCAACCCACCCCAGTTTTTGGTGGGTCTCCTTTTCTTCAGCTTTCAAAGTGAAGCGAATGACACCAACAATTTTCTCCACGATGGACTTGGAGAGATACACTTCCTCTTTTTTTTTTTACTGTGTTCATTTCTCTCATTCATTCACACAGACAGAAACCCACGGAGGAGTTTCCAATCCAGCTTCTCCTGAGAACTTTAGCAGTGTCTCAAGGACGGAGCTTCAAGAGAGCAAACTGTGTGGAAGTGGCTATGCTTCCTCTCTCTGCTCCAGAAATAGGATCCTGGTTACTCTACGGGTTATTTTTCATTAAGAAGAGTCCATGTTATGCTCTCCTCAGGGAAGCACGCATGCTAGCTTAGGGTTCCTTCCCCATCAATAGCTTCCCTAGATTTTGCTATCGGAAGCCCCTTCGATGGTCATTTTTCAGACCCGAGCAGGCTGCAAGATGAGCTAACTCTTCCCTAAAACCCTTTTTCTTCTCCTCAGAGTGTCAACATCAGAGATCTCTGCAAAGATAAAGAGGCCTCCACCCGTTTCACCTTCTTCATGTCTAACAAAGACGGAGTCTGGCGCTTCGAGTCAGCTGCCCACCCAGGCTGGTTCCTCTGCACCTCTTCCAAAGCCAACGAACCCATTGGGCTGATAAACAATCCAGGATCTTCTCATCTGGTGGACTTCTATTTTCAGCCTGAATCTTAGCTGGCCTCCCCCACCTCCCTTCGAAGGACAAAGCCCACTCCTGGAGGGCAGCGTCTCCCAGTTGCTCCTCTCGCTAAGCATTTCTGCAGGGGGTCGCTTTTCAGGAGAACAAAGCGGAAGGAAAGCGGTGACACCGTGTTTCTAGAGTTCGCGGGATATTCATAGCTCACTTTCTGGATTCGGAAATGCAGGTTGTGCAGCCACAAAATTATCTGCAAGCCTCTAAAGCTACGAGTGCAAAATATGCCAGCCAATTGATGAGCTCTGGTTACCCAGAAAGGAATTAAATACATTTGAAGTAACTGTATTGACTACATTTAATTCTAATGATTTCAAAATATGCATTCAATTTAAAAAAACACCTCATTTTGTCTTAGCCACACACAGGTAGTTGTGCAGCCTGAATCCCCAGCATGTTATGCAGACTAGATCTGCTGCAGCCCATGACATATCCTCATCCTGTCAAATTGGGGGCGGACGGGGGGCGCGGACAGGGAGAGTCGAGGGTGTGATGGCAGAGGGAGGCAACTTTTCCCAACTCCTCACCTTAAGAGCCAGGTGAGAAGATCCAGGTGTACCTCCATCTCTGTTGATGCCAGCTCTGTTACAGATCGGTCTTCATCCACAACTCGAACTGGGGATCATGGGTTGCCACTTTCCAGGGCAGCGTAATCAATAAGCCACGGAAGTCCAGTTGCCAAGAACACCTTTGGGGCAACCAGGACCTGGGACGGCTGAGAGTGTCCATAGACTTCCACAGGGGAGGCCCCTGCAGCAGACCGTACGGTCCCTCGTTCCCGCTAGGGGGCACTGTTTCACGGAAGGACTAGCCTGCCCATTTGGCTGGATGTTAACAGGCTGAGCCGAGACAATGTGGACAGGAAGGGCTGTTCAGGCCAGCGGAGCCCAACCTTTGAGGCTGCAGGGGAGGGAAGAGAACCGGGCTGTGCCAGCAGCAGGTCAGCGTGTAGGCGGGCATCTCGACTTGCGTGAGTGGCGGCCTGGTTCCGAATAAGCCACGGCCTGAAAGTGGGCCGAGGTCTGTGGGTTGGGAACCCCTGATATAGATGATAATACACCTTGAATTATACATGGGATTTTATAGGAAGCCAGTGTGGTGATGTCATAGCATCTATAATGGCTTGAACTGCTGAAGGAGGGAAGAGAAGAGAAGGCCAATAAGTTCTTACAGAGAAGAAGGGTTTGAAGTTACACAGAAGGTGGGAGACAGCGACCATGTCATAGTGGAATTCAAAATATCGCAGACACAAGCAATAGAAATCAAACCAGTGTCTTAAACTTTAAAAGAACTGGTTTCAACCAACTCAGGGTTTGCATTCCATGGGTGAAAATCTTAAAGGAGAAAACGAATCAAGAAGCTTGGGAATCTATAAAAACCATGAACATAAATGCCCAGTCCAGCACAATACCTCTAAAAACACACACCGAGAAATCCAAAAAAAAACCAGAATAGTTACACAAAGAACTCTCTGATAAACTGGAAGACAAAAGGGATAAGCATAAAAAAAAAATGAAAAAAGAGACATATAACTAAGGCAGAATACCAGCAGAACACCCAAAGATGAAGTCAGGAAAACTAAGGCTCAGAATGAACTAAGACTTGCAACAAGTGTCAAAAATAATAAAATGCTTCTTTCAACATATAAAAACAAGGAAAAAGTCAAGGGAACAATTGGTCCACTAATGGGAGAAGGCGGCAAGAAAGTGACGGGCTGCAGGGAGAAAGCAGAGATGCTTAATTCTTTCTTTGCATCTGTCTTCACACAAGAAGAAAAAATAGCCCAAGCTACCAAAAACAGAAGCGTAAAAGAAAGACTAGGAATACAAATTTAAATCATCGAGAAAATGGTAAGAGAATACCTGTCCATTCTAGACGAGTTCAAATCACCATAATCAAATGGATTACATCCCAGAGTTTGGAAGGAGCTGGAGGACGTGATCTCAGAACCGTCGAACCGTCTCTTTCAGAGATCCTGAAGCACCAGGAAAAGTGCTGATGTGGTTCCCAACTTCAAAAGGGGGCGGAACCAGGTCCGGGAAACTACAGACCAGTCAGCCTGACATCAATACAACCTGGGAGGTTCCTGGAAAATATAATCAGCTATAAATATAATGCTATAAATTATATAAATATAATAAGATATGAGATCACCTAGGATCAAACAAAATTATAACCATAAGCCAATATGGGTTTGTCAAAAATAGATCATGCCAAACAAATCTTATTTCATTCTTTGACAAAGTAATTAGTGGACCAGCCAAACACTGTGGACATAGTATACTTGGACTTCAGTAAGGTATTTGACAGTATGAAACCTACTTGTTGGTAAGCTAGAAAAATGTGGGATAGGTAGATCACCACCAGATGGATTCATAACTTGCTGACAAACTATCCTTAAGGGAGCTACATCTACATGGAGGGAAATATGAAGTGGGGTGCCCTGAGCTTCTGTTTTTAGTCCAGTACTCTTCAATATCTCCATAAACAATTTAGATGAGGAAATAGAAAGGAAACTCATCAAATTTGCAGGTGATACCAAGTTTGAATAGTTTGCCTCCAGAAATTGTGGGTGCTTCGTTACTTGTCTGAAATGATATATTATAGGGTCTCCTACTTGAGCAAGATTAGGACAACGAAACTTCCAAGGTCTCTTCCGACTCTGTGGTTTGGAGAGAGGAATGGGAAAATCATTTTCATGCCAATTTTTACTGAATCATTTTAGACTTTGTTCAGTGCTTGCTCAGTAAAACTTATATGCACTTTGGAAAAGGCATTTCAAAACATGCCGCAGCGAGTGCAGCAGCTCACTTAAAAATGGCTTTTTTGGGGGGATGGGGGGAAGCTTCACACTCTAAGGAGGCGCTGGGGATCAATGTATTTTGAAGCAGCTCCCCCCAAACCATTTTCAAAGGAGGGACTGGCCTGGTGTTTCTTGCATTTGCGGAAGGAAACTGCTGTCCATGAGGAGACCCGGTCTTCACCCTCCTTGCCTTGCCTTGCTGTCCGAGACCAGTTCTGCTTGGGCTTCCTGCTTCTTTCACGGCCTCCGTTTGAAAGTAGCTCAAAGGGCCCTTGTGGTTTGTGCTGCTCACCCCAGAGCTGTAAGTTCCGGTTCAGGCAGCAGCCATGCAGCCTGTGCAGGAGGCAAAGCAGCACTTCTTCATTTGCACAGTGTTTTGCAAGGCAAGAGAGCCTCCCCTGCTGCTCCTTTGCTTCCCTTTGAACGCTCGGGCCTTTCAAAGGGAGGCCGGCGGCGTCACGGAGTTACTGGCCTTGAGTCAGGTTCTCTTGCAAAATCATGTAAAAAAACAAAAACCCCAAAAAGAGCAAACGGTCGAGCAGGATCTGTCCCCATTCCCACCAGGGGCTCTGGGGAAGCAGCCCCGATTCCTAGGGATCCCTGCTGGAGGACGGAAGGTCCGACAGGAGGTAAGTACCGCAAGGAGGAGACCAGAAAGGAGGCGCCAGGAGGGTTGGGGGCTCTGGAAACCCAGCCAGGTGCCTCCCCCGTCCTTCCCTGCAAAGGACTAACCTCTGGAGCGTCAGAGGACAGGAGCCATCAAGTTGTCAGGGCCAGCAAGAGACAGCCGGGAGGGCCTGTCTGGGGCAGCAACCAAGCTGGCCCCCAACTCCACCTGGGTAGACCTTCCAACCTGGGGGGCCAACGGCAGCTCCCTCCCAGGACCAGCAAGCATGCAAGCCAGGGAGCCCCCTTCCCTCCCCCCTTCCCCTCCTCACACCTGCAATGGACCCCATTTAGCAGCCCACCTGCCCAGCCCCCTGTATCTTTCCCACGTGCCCCCCCCACTTCTGGGTCTGGCAACCCCCCCTTAGTTCCCCTGGGGCTGCGGGGGAGCCCCTGACTCGGGGGGGGGGAGCCTGGAGGGCCCCCAATTCCGCGCCCGTTCCAAGGCAGGGCGGGCCCGGGGGACGGGGGGGGGGCAACGCCGACCCGTCCCCGTCCCAGACCCCGAGGCCAGCAGGGACCAGCCCCGCTTCCCTTCGCCTCTGCAGGGGCCCCCCGGAGCCTCCCCCGGCCGGGACCCCTCCGCAGGGCCGGGGAGGGAGCCGGGTCTGCTGCGGGAGCGACCCACCGCCAGGCCCGGCGGGGCTCGTGGGGCCCGGCCTGGGAGGCGTCGCGGGGCCCGGGGCTTCGGAGCCGCCTTCCCGGGCGAGGCGGGCCTTGTGCTCGGGCGGCGCGGAGGCCGGAAACGCTGCCGGCCGGCCGGTGGCGCCGACGCGGGGCCCGCGGAGGTAAGTGGGCGCCGGGCCCTCCCGGGTGGGCTTTCCCCGGGCGGAGCGCCTCGGCCCGCCCGCTTCCCTCCCCGCGGAGACCCCTCCGCAGAGAGGAGCCGCGCCTCCGCCGGGCCGGCCTGGAGGAAGCGGCTGCCCGGAAGCCCGGCGGGGCCGCTCCGGCAAAGCCGCCCCTCCGGAGGGGCCGTCGGGGCCCGGGCTGGCGATCCCGGCAGGGGGCGGCCGCTCCTCGGCTCCGACCTCGGACGGGGCTCCGGCGGCGACCCCCACGCGATGCCCGCGAGCGGGGAGGCCCCCGGGGCGGCGGCGGGGAGGAAGGGGGCCCGTCCTCCTTGGTCGGGGGTCGTAGCCGGGCCGGGGCGCCTTTCCTCGGGCGAAAGAGCAGGCCGAGGACGGGCCTGGACGCGGCTCCCGAGGAGGAGGAGGAGGAGGAGGAGAGTCTCCTAAAAACGGGGGATAATAATTAAAACGCTTCAAGCCTGGAGGACGGCAACGCAAAGCTGGCTGGGGGATTCTGGGAGTTTCAAGTTTCTTTTCAAGGCGGAAGGGCCCGGCTGGGCAGCCTCTGAAGGGCCCCCCTGCTTTCTGAAGCCATAACTGGGGGTGGGGAAAGCTCTGGGAATCCCTTCCCTGCAGCTCCCGGGAAAGCTGGATGGGAGGAAGACGCCTAATTCTTGGGCTGTTTTGCTGTTTCAAGGGAAGGATTAAAAGCACCAGGAATATTTGCTGGAATGCCAGAATAAATGAGCTATTATGCCTTCCTGTTTAGGATGAAAGCTCAAGACGGAAGAACAATTTCCTAGTCCGATCACTCCGGGCTCCTCTTCTAATTTACTTTCTGCCCCAGGAGGCTCAAAACAGGCTGACTTTCTTTCGAACCTGTTTTGCCCTAGAATAATTTCATCCGCTGAAGCAGCTCTTGAGTTACCAATCGATCCTTCTTAAAATTCATAATTAACCCTCTGCATTCGCTCCTTGCAAAGCAGGAATAGCTTAAGACGGAAAGCCCTCAAGGCCGGGGTAGCAGAGGCAATCGGCCGCTAGGTTTTGCACAGATTTTAGACTCTCCTCTGTTACACTATATTGGTCGGCCTGGA